CCTCCTCGAGGTCAAGCTCGATGGCAGCCTTCTGGTGAATGAAAATGAGTAGGAGAATGAGTGGGGTAGGAGATATGCGACAGACGGTCTGAGAACGAACGTTCTGCTGATGCACTTGATACGGGGATCGTCAAAAACAGGCGTACTATTATAACCGCCTATCATGAATGTTGCACCGGTCTTCTGTTCCCATTTCAACATCAGCCAAATTTTGTGGGGGCAAAAACATAGTCTTGCCCCCACGGCCTCCTGCCAGTGGGGGCAGTCTGCCCCCACTGCCCCCACGGTGGCGCCGCCCTTGGTGTTCAGCAAACTTGGTTTGGTCATAATTATAATACAATATGTGTTTTGCCCTGTAAGTGTAGCCTGTAGCGTAGCAAGTAGCCGGGATGTGAGGTAATGATTTAGGGCGGCAAAGGCGTCCAAAAGACAGTAACGAAACAAGTGGTGAACCCGGTGACAAAAACGGTGTGAGACGACACGACGAGTAAAAAGAGGCGCTAAGAGCTTCAAAGACTCGGGTCTCAAGTTAAAACAAGGAAGCACCGTCAATGACCGGGGTCACAGGCGGAACAGGACAGCACCACCAGGGACCCGGGTCGGTCACAGGTCACCCATCGGTCACTCCGTCGATCCTACACTTCCTCTCCCTGGCGCCGCGCGGCCCCCGCCGACAAGCGCGTGGCCGGCTGGTGTGGTGTGGCCATTGTTTCGCGTCACAATACCGGCCGGGACGTGCCGACTGTGCGCACATTTGGCCATTGTGGCAGCCGACGGAACATCGAGCGCCGCGGCCACCGGACCGTCGAGCGCCGCGGCCGACGGACCGTCGAGCGCCGCGGCCGACGGACCGTCGAGCGCCGCGGCCGACGGACCGTCGAGCGCCGCGGCCGACGGACCGTCGAGCGGCCGTAGCCGACGGGAGGCGGTAATGGCTCGCGGGGGCGGCGCCACCTGTCTGATTCTGTGTCTGACCGCCGCCCACACAGCGGGAGATGGGAGGAGAGACGACTCGCGGGATGCTCCAGAGAGAAGAGGTGTGGGTTACTGATACCTACTTGCAGACTGATTAGAGCAAAGTTGACCCCCGAACGATGAACAGTCGAGGTCGGTCGAGGTGGTCCGATCATAGCACATCGAGACAAGGCCGCAAGTGGATGCGGCAAAACGTGCAGGCGATTGATAGGTCAAGGACAAAGATGGATGAAAACAGATACCTACATACACACATAGACCTCTGTACACCACTGCATTGGCGCATTGGTGTACAGTAGGGTTGTTCAAAAAAACCGAATTTTGGAAAAGTATATGGGCTCATGGCTCATGTGGTGCGGTATTCTTTTCTGAGTCCAATGATACCCCTTTTTTCGAAAAGTATTACTGCTAGGCGCTGCTCAAACGGCTTAAAGGAAATAGTTCACTTTTTAACATGGGTTTTGAACTGGAATAGCAGTTCCGTAGCCTGGGCTGAGACGAGCATAAATCAGGAGCTTTTACAGCCCAACGATCACCCTAGGCAAAGATATTCTATTTCTCGTCCCGAAAAAGGTGTCTTGCGTTGAGGATGTGTGCCTTGCATATATTCGCATCCAGTATGAAAAGAGCATGGGTACCGAAAATTCTTCAGAAACTAGAGAAATTATCTACGAGAACTCTAGAGAAATTCTCGTACTGATCAATAAGGACATTCAGCAGCAGCAGATCGCCCAAATGCCGGTGGCCGCGATCATTTCTCTAGTTTCTGAAGAATTTTCGGGACCCATGCTCTTTTCATACTGGATCGCCTGTGCCTTACAGAAACTGAAAAGTTCTTCTTATTATCAAAATATAGAAAATAATCTTTTGTTATAAATAGGTTTTATTTTCTTTGCTGATCATTTTGAACATAAAAAATCATAAATCCATTGCAAAAAAAATAATTTCGTGAAAGTGAACTATTTCCTTTAAAGAGGACCATGTTACGCCCGCCGACCGGCCGGTGTCAATAAGGGCGAGAATTCGACGCCGCACGGCGGCGGCAGCGCCTTATCGGCACCGCGCGCCACGACATCTGCCGGGCGGCCGGCTGGGCGGTGGGAAGTTATAAGTGCGTGGTCTTATTGCACACGATCGGGGTGAACTATCCCATGTTTTCGGGGCGGAAAGTTTCAGTGCAGCATCGGTGCGTCTGCCACGGTGGTCTTTGTCGATGGTATAGAAAATAACTCAAGCAGAGCTCAGAAAAGACTGAATGATTCCGGGTAGTTGCCTCGAAACAATCCGTTTCAAGAATACAGCTGCCTTCTTAAAGTACTGTATCACTTGTTAATTCTTCAAAAAGCAAGCTCTGAGCAATAACAGACTTCTTTGCATTGCTGTTGACAATTTAAGTTGCTTTTGGACGGTGGCTCGCAGCCCCAATATGCTGCCGCGTAACTCTATTCCAACGACGAAACGGCAACGTAGCGAGAATCGAAAATTTAACGAAGTAGGTACAACAGGAGCTGGCAAGGCTCCTGCATTGGTCTATCCGTCATGAGTGACACACCGGGGTAATGTGTCACGTCAGGGCAGAGCTGTGTTCTATGCCGGGTCTGGATTCGGGTCTTGATCGGCATCGGTGGGCACGGCCGCCCTGGCCGGACTGCCGGCGTCGCTTATGCTCGAAGGATTGGATAAACGGCGCTTGATTTATATGAGTAGGTACTCCGGCGAATGTCTCTACTCATGTCTCACTTCGTCACACTGTCAGGGTGGCCACCCTGTCATTCCCAGACATGTTATGTTTTCTTTCGACCCGCTAATCTAAGCTACACCTGGCGTCGATTCTGTTGCCCCAGCATCTGACATCAACGTATCTGAACATTGGTGACGCCTATGCTCGTCAAAGCCACCCCCAAACTTGGGCCGATGACTGTCGGGTCTCCTCCATATTCTGTCCTTGTGCATACTGCATTGCCAGCCCCTGCTGTACGTATATCGTGAATTTTCGATTCTCGCGAAGTTGCCGTTTCGCCGTTGGAATAAAGTTGCGCGGCAGCATATTGGGGGTGCGAGCCACCGTCAAAAACTAACGTAAATTGTCAACAGCAATGCAAAGAGGTGTGATATTGCTCAGAGTTTGTTTTTTGAAGAATTAACAAGTGATACGGTACGTTAAGAAGGCAGCTGTATTCTTAAAACGGATTGTTTCGAGGCAACTACCCAGAATCACTCACTCTTTTCTGAGCTCTGCTTGAGTTATTTTCTATACCATCGACACAGACCACCGTGGCAGACGCACCGATGCTGCACTGAAACTTTCCGCCCCGAAAACATGGGATAGCTCACCCCGATCGTGTGCAATAAGACCACGCACTTATAACTTCCCACCGCCCAGCCGGCCGCCCGGCAGATGTCGTGGCGCGCGGTGCCGATAAGGCGCTGCCGCCGGCGCGCGGCGTCGAGTTCTCGCCCTTATTGACACCGGCCGGTCGGCGGGCGTAGCATGGTCCTCTTTAAGCCGTTTGAGGAGCCCCTAACAGTTAATACTTTTCAGAAAAAAGGGCATCATTGGTCTCAGAAAAGAATACCGCACCACATGAGCCATGAGCCCATATACTTTTCCAAAATTCGGTTTTTTTGAACAACCCTAGTGTACAGAGGTGTATGATACAAATCATTATCTTATGATTGCCACAGAAGTGGTAGATGGTCACCTACCTTGCTTTCGTTGGCTCGGTCCCCGAGATCCCAACCACCGTGTCTTGCGTTTGTCGGTGGAGCGTCTATCTTCGGTTTACCTAGAGATGATTCATCATCGCTCGTTCGTAACCAAATTGGTACAAAAAAGAAGCGGAACAAAATGCTTAATTTGATAGTTAACTTCATAGTTTGCTTTTCTTGGCTCTATATTTCACTGAACAGTGGCAAAACTGACTTTTATTTTGAGCTCGACAGTTCTATCCCCTCCGGCTATACTGCGCTCGAGGCCGCTCGACCGGCGCCCGGGTGGCCGATCGCCTGGGGCGCTTGTCCATCCGTCCGGCCAATCAGCTGACGACCGGCCGGCGCGGCCTGACCGCGGCTTCTGCGTGGCAGCCCCTCCCTCTCCCTCGCTACCCGCCCCTGCCTGCCGACCAGCCGCGGGCCCCGGGGCCCACAGGTGGTAATAACGTAAAGCAATGTAGTAAAGACGGAAAACAAAACACATGTAAGCTCGTAGGCAGTATATGAAGAGTCGACCAATGGGGAATGGTGCCATGAATGATTGATCGCTTTGAAAGTACCTAGTAAGTAGTTTATTATCACCAAATTCAGGCATTGGTGTGCTTCTCCGTTCTCGTTTCAATGTAATGTTTAGGTATAGGTGTAAAGGTAATATTTATAGGTATAGGTAATAGGCAATGAAGCGTACCTATTGATCACACTAGTTACAACGCATTTCGAAAAGCACTTCAATTAGGGCTGATGACGTCCATTGTGAATAAATTCCTCCATTACATGTATGGTAACCCAGGTGGCAGCGACAGGCGAGCTGAACAAGGTGGCCTCGCAGGGGGCTCAGTCATGGATGGCCTTAGCTAGCGCCACCTGTGATCATGCAATGCCGTGGAGACATCTGTGGACAATACAAGAACCAAAATATGGTCGTAAGTCGTAACCCAGTTTTACCAACAGAAAAATAGCCGCCTACCGGATTTTTTTGCCTAATAAAGACCGCTTCACATACGGAGCGTAAACGCAATGGGTAACGTAAGCGGATAGGGCTTTACCGTTTACGGTCCTTAAGCAAAATATTCCGGCAGGCGACTATTTTTCTGTTGGTAAAACTAGCCACGGCCGTTTTGTCAATTAAAGCGGTTGAGGAGGATAACAGGTCGTATGGAACCCATCTCGTTCTTTCTTATATCGATAACCTAAGGTCTGCACTGATGGGCTATCTACGCAACTCGCATCATGGCGAAGCGACACCCCCAGCCGTGCGCAAATAACAAATTCCTCCCCAGCTCTCTCACGTCGCCACCAGTAAAACAAATCGCTATAAGCAGTCCATGTGTATTTTCACCAATGTCACCCGGTCCACTGCGGGTGAGCCGTGCATACAAAAATAAGCTTCCGACGGCGGCGGGGCTGTGCCGGCCTGCCGGTCGGTCGGGGGCGGGCAGCGGCACGGCGGTTGGTCCGAGCGCTGCGATCTGTGCAGTGTGCAGTGGGACCGCCGGCCGCACTCCCGGGCGCCACGAGTCCGCAGAGTCAGTCAATCAGATAGTTAGAGTCAGATAGAGGCGGAATCAGATAAAGTCGGAGTGCATTTGAGCCTGAGTCCTCAAAAAACAGAGTCAAAACTAGTCAGAGCTGGACAGAGACAGACAACAGTAAATCCTCATAATCGGACGGACATTAGTCTTCAGAGTCGGAGCCAGGTAAGAGTCGGTGGGTCAATCTGAGTCAGAGTAAGAGTCAGATAGTGATAGTCTTCAGAGTCAGAGCTGTGTCAGGGTCAATCGGACAATTTGAGGAAGTCAGGCCGAGTCAGAGTCAGAGTGTTAGACCTTATAGCCGAGGTCCGTGGGGTCTCAGCCGTCAGCCGGGCACGCCGGTCGAGTCGCCCACCCCTGGCCAACAGACTCTGCCGACTCTGCCTCGGTCTCCGAGAGGCCAGAGGTCGTCCATCCGTCCGCGGTCTCAGAAAGTCAGACGCCGCCCGTCCCCAACCAACGGCAGGCCCGGCCGCACCGCGCACCGCGGCAGCGCCGCCAACATAAAACGCACAGCTAACACCAATCATCCACAACAAATATCGAAGTGTTCCAACAAACTACACATGGGGGCGCGCCGGCCCGCGCCGCCGCCGCGCCGCTTCTGTCTCGCCCACCGGACGCGCGCAGCCAGCTGACTAGAACATACATCTACGTGGAATGTATACAAATAACGAAGCCACCGGCATGCCGTAAAATAGTTCATCTCTCTCGCTCTCACGATCACTCGGAGCCAGCGGAGGGCTGGTCTCGATTTTCTGCGGCGGCCACCGCCGGCGGTCGTGGCAGCGGAGGGGGGACCGGCCGCGGCGGCCGCCACCGTTGAACATTGCACGACTTAGCGTCCTCTCTCTCTCTCTCTCTCTCTCACTGCCGTTCTCACACTCGGAGCTCACACGGCGCCGCCTCTCACCAGCTATCACCGACCGCGGCGGCCGTGCCGCGCGCGCGCCGCTGCCGCTGCAGTGCCGCGGCACTAGAGCTAGGACACAGGTACGGTGCGGCGGCGCGCCCGGCGGCCGCCCGACAAAGTTCAAGTTGTACCGCTTGCCGACAGGTGTCGCGCTGGGTGGCGCGCCCGCTACTTGGCCTCCGACTCGTCCTGCTCCATGGGCTCCTCCTGGGTGGGCGAGACGGGCCGCGCCGGCGACGACCTGGCGAGACACGGGAAACACGGTCAAACACTGCACGGCTAGGGAGAAACTAGCCATTAAACACTGCACCGTGGCGAGACAAACACGGCCAAACAGTGCACCGCCAGGGACAAACATAATCAAACACTGCATCGTGGAGAGAAAACACAGTCGAACACTGCACGCCAAGATACAAACACGATCAAACACTGCAACATGGCGACACAAACATAATCAAACCCCGCACTTTCACTCAATCAACCTATACATCGTACGAAAACCATCGCACACCCCACCATGACGGGAAAGACCCCACAACTCCCTCGGATCGTTCCCTGTTCACTGACCGACAGGCGGCCGGCGGCGGCGACTGGTGTGCCGCCGGCGGCTGGCCGGCGTGTCGATGGTGCACCGTCAGACCGGCCATGGCCGACAGCGTCTCGGCGTCTCGGTCCTTGAGCGCCTCGGCGTGCGAGAGCGGGATCAGGTGGGCGGTCCGCTTCACACACGGCCAGTGCGGCACCTGACGCGGAGAGAGAAATGGAGGTCAGAGCGCAATAAAGGTGAAGGGGGAGGGGTATGATAGGCAGGAATAGCCAGTCAGAGCATACTCGTATTAGACGGGCGAGCCCAATCAAGATCACACCGGGGGAAGATTACAGTTGTATACAGTCGGTCTGAGCGAAGTCCGATCCAACAGCACTGATGTTCGAACACGGAAGTTCCACGGTTATTTAACGATGGTCAGACTTCGCTTGTCAGTTCATTCTTCCCTTCTCCCTATGCCCAGAGCCAGCTCCCAATCGCCATTCATATTCCTACATCACTCCTTCCGAGTCTAAATCCTTTTCATTGTCTCCCCGATCCCACTGCTTCCTTCCGCACCCCAACCCACCCACCACCCCTTCAGCACCCCACCCCCCTATCCCACTCCCCGCACCTGTATGTCGATGGTTTTGCGCAGTGTGTCGATGGCCGCCTGGCACGGTTTTCTGTTGAGCTCCTCGTCACTGATGGGCTGCAGGTCGTCTCCGAGCAGGGCGCGGATGGTGTGCTCCGTGGCGTCACAGATGGCGGGGATGTCATAACCGCCCTCCAGAGCCATCGCCACCTGAGGGACGGCAGCGGGCAATGACGGTTAGACGGCGGCGGGGGTAGCGGTGGAACGAGAAGTCTGGACGTAGATAATTGGGTCTTAACGAGCCAGGCCTTTGATTCCGTAATAAATTCATTTTGATCTGACACAGCCCCCCCCCCCCCACTCGCTATATTCTCCCGCTGGTAACAAGTATACCAGACCCCTCTCCCTGATCAGGTCACTGACCTTGCCATTGGCCAGAGTCATCATCTGTCGCGTCATCCAGGCGAAGCACTGGGCCGACACCTGGTACCCTCCGAGCGGGGACGGGTGGCCGCGGGCCGCGTCAAAGCCGCTCGATACCAGCACCACGTCAGGCTGAAAGTCCTGCCGGTCACACCAAGGTTAGGGGAGGTCAGAACAGGTCAGACCACGTCAGCCCAGGTCAGATCAGGGCAGACCAACAACGCTGGAATTTGTCCGGAGGATAGTTCCGTCCACTCATCTCACTCCAGTAATTAAAGCAAGTCACAACATGGCACATCATGAAACAAGCAAGGCTCAACATGCCGGCACATCACGAACAATTTACATTCCTCCATGAACTCCTCTTTCTTTAAACATTATTACACCCGAGTGACGTCAAATCAGCCACCCACCCAGCCCTAAACCCACCCTTTCCCGGGGGTGTGGGCACGGTCACCTACCCTGGCGATGGGCATGACGATGCTCCGGAAGGCGGCCAGGTACTCGGCGTCGCCCATCGGAGGGCTGCAGCCGCCTGACCAGGCCACGTTCACGTTGAAGCCCATGCCGTCCTCCACGCCGCACTGACGACAGAGGCGGCGCCGGGTCAGGTCAAGTTAGGTCAGGTTAGGTCTGGTCAAGTCATATTGAGAAAGGTGATGCCATGAAGGGCGGGACATGGTGAGACGTGAGTAATAAGATGCCTCGATAGTTCGAAACACTGGATAAGATGTAAACGAGACCGCATCCACATTTTTAGCCAAGATGCAGCGACCAATGACCATCAGCTGAACCTATCTAAGAGCTGAACAGCAGATGAACATAAGAATCTCCCGCATCAAACGCCTCTCCCTTCCTCCCCCGCTCCGCTCACCTCCACGGGCGCTCCGGTACCCGGGAAGAAGTTGCCGTCGTCGTGGCGGTGCAGCGACAAGTAGAGCACGTGCGAGCTGTCGTAGAACAGCTGCTGCGTGCCGTTACCGTGGTGCACGTCCCAGTCGACGATCATCACCTTCTCGACGCTGAGCTGGAGCCGCAGCAGGCGCGCCGCCACCGCCACTGAGTTGAAGAAGCAGAAGCCCATGGCCTGCTGGCGCTCGGCGTGGTGGCCGGGCGGCCGCACCAGCGCGAACCCGTTCTTGACGGCACCCATGGCCACTGAGGAGAGAGGGAGAGAGGGCCGTCAGGTAGGGCGGAAGGACGGAGAGTGCGGATAAGGGAGGGCCGTCAGGGGACGCTGAGGGACGGGGAGGGCCGTCAGGAAGGGCCGCAAGAGGGCTCGGTGGGTCGGGGAGGGCCGTCGGAGTGCAAAGGGGCAGACGGGTGTCCTTGCGCCAAACATATCAGATACCAGCCGCTACGTGCGCAGCAGCCCACCGAACAACGGCTGTTTGGCTTGCTTGTCTGGATCGACAAGCCACACCTACGGTACTTTCACACACTGATGAAACCGCGCTGCTGGGACAATTATTTAATTTATCACTCCAATATCACGTAAATACGTTTCCGATTCGTTGAAAGAAGCACCACAAAATAAAGCAACTTAACAATAACCTCACAGTCACAGTCACCGTCACATGGGAATTCTCACAGTCGATGATCAAAGTACAGCCGTACAAAACACAGGAAATAACTATTGAAAAAGGCCCGTCGCTCGCTGAGCCTGTCCGCAATGAAAGTAATGACCACACTGTCGCTACTCGAGCAAAGCGGGCCAATTATGACGTCAGTGGGGCGCAGCGACATTCATGACCATACATAAAAAATGAAATGCAATTCTGTCGCTGGTTGAAAGCCACAAAATGAAATAATCTTAGAAGCAAGGGCCAATTAAAGGCCCGGCAAAGTGGCGATGATAATTTCAATAAATCGCGACAAGTGCAGCTGGGCGCACAGTCTGAGGAATTCGACATGACAAGCTAATGGGACATTTTGGAGCGTCGCCGCGGGTCCCACATATGTTAGTAGCGTCACCCGAAGTTCGAGGACTGACGAGCTGAAGCACGTCATTTTGGCCTAGCAATGTATTGAAATAGAGTCGACAATGCTGTAGGTGCTCATCCCCGAACAGAATCTGGTGGTCTGACCATGAACAGCTCCGGCTCTAGAGAGCGGCAGCAGTTTGGCAGCCTGATGAGCCAGTCAGCTCAAACGCCAGAGGGCGTCAGTATTTCATCATTCCATGATCACGCCCCATTGCTCACGATTCGGTGAACGACGGGGAACTAAACACACCGAGTGCCAGCTAGTTTTGTAGCTACACCACCCTCTGAGAAACGGAAACCAAACCAAACCCCACCAACTGCAAACTAACAGGCCTCCTTTACCGGTGAATCCAACAACATCAATATACCGTTCGCTCACATAACAACCTTTAGCAGAACTAAACAGCCCCTTCCCTCCCCTCCCGGTCTCTGACCTTTGAGAGCCAGCTCGCTGACACAGCCAGCCGCCATGCGTGCCGCGCTGCTCGTGTGTAGCTCGTTCCACGTGGTGTCCAGATCGACGCCGATTCCGCCGCACGGCATTTTCACAAACGACCGAATCGGCAGCTCGCCCAGTTTGCCCAGATCGAGCTTCTGTCGGTTCAGCGGGTTGGTGCCTACCGGACACGCGAGATGGAAGGGTGGTCAGAGAGACAGTCGGACAGCTAGACAGCCCAACAGAAAGCCAGACAGATAGACCGCAGTGTAGACAGGTTGTCATTAGCATCTGTCTGCAGGCAGGCGGGGAGGCAAGTGGCCTTGCAGCATCGCATGATATTGTTATCAAAATCCCGTAGTATAGGGGAGAGTGGGGCACATTCGTGCAAAAAATGGATAAACCCATATATCTGTTCTTTGGTTAGTGCAATGGCAAAATTGTTGATTGTAGTATGGAAAGGAACTATTGCAGATAGTTTTCCTCTTTAAAAGTTATCCTCTAAAATTATTGCTTCCATTAGAAAAAATGACTTTTAATAACTCTGAACATTTGCACGAAACTGCCCCACCTATGGGGCACATTCGTTCAAGAGGTGGGGCACTTCCGTTCACCCTGCAAAGTTCGAGAAATTACCGGGCATTACCAGAAATCTACCGAAGGAAATTGGCAGGGGGTCATTTCACTTGATTCCTTTCGACAAGAATGCATTGCACAACATATGTAGAAAGAATGGGCTGGCCAACAAGAATGTGCCAACTGCCGGCCTCCGTGACCTCGCCAAGTTCGCGTGAATTGCTTGTCACGACGTCGCAAGCAGTCGAGACTGAGTCAGGCGAACGTCATTAGAGAAACCTACTACAGATAAAGTCATAAATCGCAAAAACTAAAAAAATATGCACGAATGTGCCCCCAGGCAGTGCGTACACGAACCTGCCCCACAACGTTATTAGTAATATATTTCAAAATTTCTTTTTGAAAAAATGACACTTTTTCAACAAACAAGTTTGCAGCAGTTCCGTGAATAGAGTGAGCTTCTTCACCCCCAATTTTGAAAAGCTGAACCACATTTCCGAGTCAGGATCACGAAAATGGATGATATGAGAAAAGTTTGGAAAGCTCACGAATGTTACAAATTTGCGTTTTTATCAAGCATGACAGCAGGTACAGTGTTGTCTTCTACGGTGAACGAAGGGCGGCAATGATAGACATATTTCCATAATTTACCTTGAGCTCGTGCAGTCACTCGTGTTCCCATAAACTGCTGAAAACGAATGTGCCCCATGCACGAATGTGCCCCACTCTCCCCTACTAGAAAAAAGAAGTCCGATATTCACTGACAAACTGTATCTCGCCACTCGGGTTTAGCCCAACAATCATCACCCACCAGTCACCTCCCCATCTTACGGACTAGGCTCTCCCTCTCCCCACTCCCCCCCCCCACCCCCCACCCCCATCACAGTCCCTCCAGCCTACCGAAGAAGATGGTGTGCGCCTCGCTGTGGCAGGTCTGGATCTCCTCCAGCGTGGCCTTTCGGCTGCGGATGCGGTCACAGCGGTGGGTGAGACCCGTCTCCTGGAGCCGACTCCAGATGTACTGCAGGCGGGCGCTGTGCTCTGGGTGGTTGGAGCTGTCGCCGCACACACACTGGTGTTTGAGCATCAGCGGGTCGTACACCAGGCCAGTGCCGCAGCCCTGAAACGGAGACAAGTGGTGAGTGGTGAGTGGAGCTGAGACGGAGAGGACGGTGGCCGGTACAGGGCTTTTGTAGTTTATTAGGAGCTTTGGGGAGCACCGACTAACAACGTCAGTTTGTGCCCATCTGGTAGAGGCCGATAAAATGGAATTAAATTTGAACTGGGCGGTTCTTGCCAACTTTCAACGACCTACCAGCCCAGTATCTCTATTGAGGAACTCCTGACACCCCACCCCTCCTTTCAACCACGCTCCTGAATTCCTCTCGACCCACAAAACCGTCCGTCAGCCGCGGCCCTGGCGGCGGCGGAATCGGCTGACGTAATGAGTTTAATCAAGTTAAATGAGGTGGACAAGGCGGCTGCACTTGGCCCCAAGGTCGCCCGGAACGCCGCGACAAATTGAACGCCGTCCGCCGGCGGTGTGCCGACCGGCCGCTCGCCGATTCGCCTCATTAGGCGAGTGGTAGTTTGGAATTACAAATCAGGCGACAAGCAACGGCGGGCGATTCGGCGATTGAAGTGGGCTATATATCACCGGACAATGGTCGCAGGCCGGCCGGCCGGCACCGGGCGAGTTTACACGGTGAGTTTGTGTGGGAAGTGTGAGGTGGTTAGCAACAGCGCCGCGGTCAATGGGATCGCTTGTTCTGTGTCAAGTAGTTAAGTTTTACACAGCCATCGCAGAGCATCGGTTTGTTTGAACAAAAATAAACGCAAAGTTGATCACTTATCAGAAGCATCTGCAATCCATACCGGTCATGAAACTGAATAGGATTCCCTCTCCAATCAAACCTCTAACATTTCCCACCCACCAGCAGCGGCTCGCTAAACAAGCCAACGCACCACATCCTTGCGGCAGCCACGTATCAATCCCGAAGTAAGTCACCGCCCAGCAACTAGCCACACTACCGCCCGGCAACACAACACAAATCCAATGACGTCCGCCCTAACTGACCACTGACCCGTCACTTACTTATGACGTCACAGTGGTCATTCACTTGGCGTGTGCCACCGTCACTTCCTCCCCCCTACGTCACACCCCGCGTGTTGTGCCTCTATTGCCCTCTGCCGGTGATCGTTCGTGACGCCCGTCACACGTCCGTAACGCGTTACGCGCGCGTGACACAGCCGTACTACCGCCGTAACGACACGTAACGCGAACGACACCGATCGAGAGAACGACGGCAGCTCTGACGAATCGTCCAAAGGCACGACAGCTGACCCGCGTCACGGGCGCCGGCCGAGGCGCCGGTGTTTCGTGCACGGCGTGTGTGCCCTCAATTAGCCCCCATTCCGGCCGTCACCGCCGGCCAGGCCGCTGTGACGTGACGTCACTGACGTCGTTACACACCTGTTTGCTGACGTATGTGATGTGCGGGTCGCGCGCCGGGCTGGCCGTGGCCGCGGGGTTCAGCGTCACCAGAGGCGAGGAGAAGGCCCGCGCCAGGGGCCGGATGGCGTGCGTCACCCGGGAGTTGGGAGGTGGCCCTGTTGAGAGAGAGCGGACACGGTGGTTAGGTCATGTGAGGTCATATTTAGCAACAGAATGCTGAAACAACAGGATAAAAAGATTAAGGGAAACGATGTAAAGCAAACAGCCCAATGAACGGCGAGCTACAGCACACCATTACACACGTAGAACGCACACCAGTTTTTCAAAGGCACAGCGCGATAATTTGAGCTTACAAATAAGCCCCATGGATTCGTCACAACACAGCTATCCGCCAAAAACAAATAACCAAATAATGAGACAAATATCATGTGACAGACTTCACTGGAGATGCATAAAACTAAGCGACATATCCTGCTCAAGGATTCGACAACGGCCCGCATTTGGCATTCCTCTCACATACGACCTACTGACAGCTCCCGGCCGTCCCTGCATACGCTCGACATGGGCGACGTATGCAGAACCCGTATCGATTCCGTACAGACGGAGGCCGGCTGCATCCGTGAGCTGTTTCCGGCCGGGCCGGGAGTCACGGGGCTCGCCTATCTGATCAGACAGGTCAACGGAAATAGCACCGGTCCCAGGCACCCGGCGAATGCGACTATTCCAGACACCGGCCACGGAGAAAGGTCACGACACCGTCCCGAACGGAAATTAAAAAATCAGCACTCAGCTGTCCGGAAACCAGCCCAGACAGCAGTCGAGACCAACTCCTCACATCAGCTCAGAAACCACTGACCAAGGGACAATGTCGCAGTGGCTAGACACTGACCCAGGCGGCTGCCCAGACAGCAGATGTCCAAGACCGGACAGCCGACAGTGTCGGCGACTTCGTCAGTCTGGCCAGACATCCTTCCGGCCGCCGAGCGCACTACAGTGATACCGCATCAGCCAGATTGGATCCGGGTAGGGGCTCTTCTCAATGGGCGACCCGAAACGCCACGGCGAGGGATGTCGGAATCGAGCGAGTCTGATCAGATGATTGGAGGAAATTCTAAAAAGACCACAGATGAAAACTAGATGATTAAAATAAGCAGGACAACGAGCAGAAACTGGCAAGAAATGGGCCAGTTAGCTCATCATCACATCTTTGCAACGTTATGTAACGTCCACTGCGCTCACTAACAAGGCATTCGCGGCTCTGTTCTTTCCAGAACTCAGCTGCAGGAAGTCATCCACCACAACTATGAAAATGAAAATAGTTCCCGTCTTGTCCGCCCTCTCCATAGAAACCAACAATGACCACAGATACATCCCAAGACCGTCAGCTACGTCCAACACAAACGCCCAGCGATACAGCACTAGCCAACGATGTCGGAATAAGGAAGTTTTAGCTTCACAAGGAGAGTGCTCAAGCTCAATACATTGGATGCTTGTAGAGCGCATGATCCGCCCTTCCGCGAGTACTCGAGTTCGGCGCGCGGGACACTCACTGCTCCATTCCCTGTCGTGCACCTCCCGTGGCGGCAGTACGTTGGTGACGTGGGTCACGTAGGCCACCACGGTCGGCGGGTGGCGGCGCCGGGCTGTGCGACGAGCCGGATGGCCGCAGCCGGGCCGCCGGCGCGCCCGGCACCGCCCCGTCCTCCGTGCGGCCGGCGGCGCCAGCAGCGCGGCACGCAGTAGCTCCAACGGGCCGCCCACCAGCAGCCGCAGCAGCCCCTCCAGCACGGCGGCGGCAGAGTCCAGCAGCGGCCGAGCGAAGTCCGTCCCTGAGTCCGGCTTCGCGTCCAGCGGCGCCGTGGCCTGGGGCGTCGGCTCGGCGAACGAGGGCTCAGCAGCCATAATGTGTGCGCTCGATTTGTTGCAGATATTGCTTAGAGCTTTCCTAAATCCTATTTACGCTTTTAACTATGATGACTGCCTATTTTTCTAGTTCACATAAGGACAAAATCGTATTGATATCTAAAGCTATAACACAAAAAGAAACACAAAAGGACAAAAATTTTGACAATCAGAAACATACACAAAACAAGCAAAATGTTTCACAAAAATGTGAGAAGTCGAATTGAAGTAATGGCGGAAAGGGCGGAAATATAAATTTCACGGCGCCACCCACGTGCCGTAATCTACAACGCAGCAACACACCCGGAAGAGTCAAATACCAAACTGAACCTCACACGGTGCAATAGACCTAATTTAATCATTTTCCAGACTCAAACCGATATAGTTGGTCTTCAACAACTTAGCACAGCAGTTTGGAACAATAGCAAATCCAACATCCGTCAACCATGAGAGGAATAGACTACCGGGAGCGAATCATTCGGTGTAAAAGTGCGGCGTATCAAAACTACACTATCAAACAAAATGTTTAAAACAACGAGCATCTCTCAGGAGATCCGCTTTCAACTTGTCTGCCGCCTCCCACACATGAGCATGATACTCAGAACCATGTCGCCCACAAGTTGATTTCATAACATCAAAACGATTCGCTGCAAACTCTTCGAAACAGGGAGTTCATGGTTGTGATACGGGTCACGAGGTACCCAGACGTACCCACCCCTGTCCACGGACAATGTTGGACGACGCGACGTGACTTCGAGAGAACGTCACTCTGACGCACAACACGGTATGGTTGAGCGTCACGGTTAATGCCAAACACCGCGGTTGCTGCAGCGACCTGCGTTATTGCTCCAGCTCAGGCAAGCACCAACTAATAACAGGAAATAACACGCTAGGCTGACCGACAACTCTGGCCGTTCTACATGGAACCAATAAACACTGTCATTGAAACGCAACTGAGTGAAATAATCTATTATGTCGCCAGTGTCAAAATGAGACTTGGCTGAGCTATCGCGTAAGTCATAATACAGTTTTTCCAAAATCCCAGGACATCAACACTTCAACACGATCAACCCTCACTTCACAAAATCAAATGGCACCACTCAGTCAAAACAGCAAACACAGATCATGAATAAACCGGACATCCCAATCCACAAGCCTCACCCTCCCAACCCAAAACCCTCACAATGTAATAACATCCCCCAGCACGCCACTAACAAACACACTAATGAGTAATGACACCCTCAAGTCTCCCCCGCACACAGCCCCACGCTCGATTTTGTGTCGCTCCCGGCGGGTACTCACCGTGCCGTCCCGACAGGCCCATTTGGTGAGAAGGTTCTTCCCGCACCTCTGAGACGTCGATGCGGTTCTCGGTCAGGTCGATCACCTAAAGTAGGAGGTGAGAGACCGTCAGTGTCAGTACATCAGCGTGATCTTGTTATTAGTTCAGGGAGCGGGGACAGGGGTCGTATGGGGAAAAAGGGGTTCCAGGAAGGCCAGAAGTCAGCGTGAGAGGTCCAGGGGGCCTCAGGGGGCCCAGGGACTCTAGCATCTCAGCGGTTAAGAGGAAGTCTCAGGGATCGACTCAGAGGGATCAGGGATCGCAGCTGCTGATGAACTGGAGAAAATTAGGGGGAAAATGAAATCGGAACAGCAGGGGTCTCAGGAGTGGCACGGTGCTCAAATATATCGCACAGTGCTCCGAGAGTCCATGAGGAGAGACTCAGGAGTCACACGATACTCGCGGTCGGTCCTACTCAGACTCCACCACTCCTACTCCTACTCAGATCATCCGACTCGGATCGTCCAGCTGGCCCAATTTGTCCCGCCGTGCCGCTCACACATCGCACACTGCCCATCAACGTCCCGTCCCGTTCCCGGTAGCTCCAAATGAGCACCCCCCCCCCGGATTCCGAGCACGGCAAAAGAACGGAACGTGATAAAGGAAGAACGCCGTCCGCCATCTCTTCTCCCCAGGCTAGCCGAGGAGCCGGGGAGACGAGACACTATTCACAAATCTCATTAGCCAAACGCCGTCAAAGTTCCCGGATGGTGACGGGCGGCGCCCGAGCACACATTCAGTACCGCGGTGAGACCGGAGATTGGATGTGTGGATTCGTGGTAACGCTACACAAAACGTCAAACGCCCCACGTTATCTCATAGCTTCTGCGCAGGTGGTTGAAACGAGCCACGGAATGTGTAATAAAGTGTTTGTTCGGCGGCTGACAGTCTGCTACTCCGACGCATCAAAGCAACAGCCTTTGATATACGAGTACATACGCAAATTTATGCAGCCTTCACGAGCTCAAGATAACGTTCCTTTACGCTCCTACTCACCAGAATCATTTAAATTGACTTCGTTTTGGGACCCACGCTTTGGGAGTCAACTCACACCACCGAGTCACTTTCCCGAATCGTCGATTTAACGTCATCCCCGCCGAGTCAGTAAAGTGGCGTTCAGAAGTTCCCAGTCGTAAATGACTTATGTAACGGTACCGGTGGGTGCAGGGAAGCCCCTGTATGTGTGAACGTTACGTCTACGGGCCGGGCGGGAGATTCACAAGAATATCGACGGAATCATTGGCCAGTGTAATAGTAGCCAGCCGCTGTCAGGGCAAAGAGCATGGCGATCGTATGTTTTCTTTTCTCAAATAATGGCTGCAATCCGCAGCATATCCATCAAGTATTTGAAAACGTGCAAAGATCAGGGGCTTGCTCACTATTAAATCTTATATCTTTTTTCTAATACACATCAACATTCCATACCTAGCGTATATGGTTGTAGCGCATGCATACCTAGCGCAACAGCAAACTACACCCCCAGTCTAGACGAGCCCCGGCACATTGCGCTAACATGTTTCGCTCTAGCATCCATTGACAGAGATTACGTCGCCACAAATCTCCTCCCGGGTCAGATTTCTGTCCTGCCGTGTCCCTGGCTCTGACCTCTCCCCGTCGTGTCCCCTGGCCATCCCTGAGTATAATCCCCCTCCCCACCGCGACCCAACCGTCGCCGGGTCTGACCTCAGCGTCCTTGGCGTCCTGCATCTCGCGCGCCACGGCCGCCTCCGTCTCCTCCTCCACGTTCTCCACATGGTTCTTACTGCTGGCGCGCGTCAGCACCGTCTGACGAATGTGCTGTGAAGGAGAGTGAGGGACGAACGGTCAGGTCAGCGGCACAGAGAAAGAACAGAGCTTAGACTGCGGAGACAGCAGCACCGCCACAGGCACCAAAACACACAGGCTAGCCATGATAAGGCAGCTGAAAATCTATGAAGCTTTTCATTTTCGTTTAGGGTTTCACTTCTCGTTTATCGCATTTTAGCATTGGTCAGTCCGAGGAGCAGACACACCCAAGTCGGCTGTTCTTGCTTTCTGGGGATGTTGGGTCCACACATCCTATCTTTAGACTAGACATTGGTAACATTGGTAACATTAGACATTGGTAACACAACCAATGCAGCGAAATAGTGGAACCCTAAGGCGGGCTAGTGGGACTTGTGTCTAAACGGAAACTCTAAATACGTAATTCACTGAATATGCATTACACATTCATTATAATCTAACTTCAATACCCACTGGAGTGGCCTAACATGGTGTTCATTAAATTAAAGCAATTAACTGGTTGCAGGGTCGGAAGCCGACAGTACTGCCTATGAATACACTATGAATAGAGTACGGAGTAAAGCCTACTTCAGTGCAGTCGGGTTCGCCTTGATAAACCTATATATAGTTTGAAGACGGTACATTGAAGCGTTTCAACTTTAATGTGGCCGAGCTTAATTAGGATGAGAAGATCAAACGAAAGTCAAAGCCAATGACACAAAGAACGAGCTATAGTCCAGCCAGACCCACGGACCACTTGGTCAGGTCGAGCTGAAGGTCAGACTTATAGTTAGGTTCCTATAATCACTCTCAGTGGTTCCTTTAACAATGACCTCGTCGTCCCACTCCGGTCTCTAGCCGACCCAGCCGCCTGCAGAGCGGTTGATACCCCGGCTAGCAGGCCTCCCCAGCCCTGGTGCACAACTTTCCGCCCGGACCGCCGGGGCTGGCGCAGCTGCCGCAGCTGCCGCAACTGCCGCGGCCAGCTGGGCAGCAGCTGTGAGTCCGGGACAGCTTAGCTCGGCCGGCAAGCTGCCGCCCCGGGCCGGAGAGACGGCTGAGGTCAGCCCATCTGTCAGCGCCGCCGTCACACCGCCATCAGAGAGTCTACGACCGAGTGAGTGAGCTCCAGGGATTGCTCCAGGGATTGGTGGAGCCTGGACGCCGATTGGTGGAGCCTGGGTGCCGACTGGGAGAGTCTAGACGAGACTGGAGAGTCTGGGGTATACTGCCGATTGTGTCTAGGTAGGTCTACTCCAGCCAGCAACAACCATTCCAACATGGCTCCGAGATCACTCAACAGCCGACAGCCCCCGCTCATCCACTGTCTCCAGTCCCGAGCCAACACGACCAGCCTCCTCACCATCCCTTCCTCGTATCCATCTGACAGCTTTCTCCCATACCCTCCCTTACCCCGTCCCCACCATCCCCTGCGCCCCTCCCCCCCGCCCGACCCGACCTCGGTCCGGCGGCACGTCCGGACGGTCAGCGCGCCGGCCGACATCGATCCTCGTATCGGCCCGCACACACCGTCGATACCGGCGGACGGCAGCCGGTAGAGTAAAGACCAACGACCGACGGCGGAGTAACGACCAACGACCGACGGCGGAGTAACGACCGGCAGCCGGCAGCAGAGCAACCGGAGTAACGACCAACGAGCGGTCAGAGTAACGGCCAGCGAACAGCCAGAGTAAAGACGGGCAAACGACCAACGACCGACCAGAGTAACGACCAGCGATCGGCCAGAGTAACGACGGGCCGCAGCAGAGCGACCAGAGTAATGACCAACGACCGACCTGGGTAACGACCAGCGACCCACGAGAGTACCGGCGGGTCGCAGTAGACTGGCGAGAGTAACGACCGTAACCGGCAACCAGCCAGACAACCTGACCAAAAACAGAGTAATGACGAACAACCAGAGGAGCGACCAACGGCAGCAAAGCTACCACAGTAACTAACGTCCAACGGCAGTAGATCGAGTGAGAGTAACGACGGCCTGACCGAAAACCGATCAGACAGCCCGGCCAACGTCAGAGTAACGGCGGCCCGACCGGGGCCCCATGGCAGCACAACGACCAACGACACGAAATGAGTCGGCACAACGACCAGCGACCTGGCGGTACATGATTGATTGGCTTTGGAATAACGCGGAAGTGGTAAGCCGATGTCGAGGCAAGCACCGGCTAAAACAGGATTGAGCCAGAGCGTGACGGTGCAAAATATCAGCGAAATCCATCCAATCAATACAAACAGGGCAGTAGTACTTCCCAGACCTCCTCTGAGACTGCGTTAGTGGGAGGGAGTTTTGATCACGAGCACCGGCGACTGGACGAACGGCTAGGTCGATTGGCGTACATGTCTCGTCTGTTGGTACATGGCTCAGCAGCCGGCGCATACGGTACGGTCATTGATCCATCAGTCAGTGAGACGCCGGGGTATCTGATACAATCTCCAGGAGCTGACAAAGGCACAGCCGAGGCGGGTAATGGGTACGTGGGCGATATGCTAAGAAATCAGTGGTAGGGAAGTACAGAGAAACTGTGCACGTGGCGAGATAATGCACATCCAGCCCATGATGGGGATACTATGAGACGAGGCCATTAGGTTATGAGAAATCGCTGTTCAGTACTGTAAACAGCGCAATATTAATTTATCCAATCCCAGCCAGCGAACAGCAAATAATACGCTACGATACCCATGCTAGATAGTCATGGCAGAGACCGCCCACGGCTTCAGTGATGCAGTATATGATTGGCGACAAAGAACCCGGACACTGGCCATAGTTTCTTTCCAGTTCCACCTGACAAAACTATGGCTATCTTTGGGGCGGTATAAAGTCAGCAATAGAAAAAACGACCAACCTCCTGGTGAATTTCAGCCCAGCAAGTAACGGCGATGGTTCTTAAATAAGACACAGCTTTAGCCAACCGACGATTCGCCACACACCAAACAAACGCTACGTCAATGGAAAATAGTGGAGGTGGCGACCCAGCCATCCTAAGTACCAGCTACTAGCAGGTTGTGCTGGTGCTGCTTGTGTCAATCCGTGCTGTTTGCGTCTTAGTCTCACCTGTTTGAGCAGGTTGTGCTGGTGCTGTTTGTGCGGAGGTTGTGCTGTTTGTGTCTTAGTCTCACCTGTTTGAGCAGGTTGTGCTGGTGCTGCTGTTCGTACAGCTGCCGCTCCTTGACCAGCTGTTCGTACTGCTCGCGGGTGAGGCTGGCCCGCTGAAGCAGCGGATGGCCCAGCGGCAGGGGCGCAGACTGGGTCCGGCTCAGCGGCCTCCCCTGGATGGTCCGGCCCAGTCGCGCCTGGGCCGCCTGAAAGGGAGACAGCAGGGGAAGGTTATAATACAGTGGGATATACACTGGTACAGTGGGAGAGGGTGCCACAGAGATAAACAGTGATAAGTCTTGCCCAGCCGCGCCTGAGCTGCCTGACGGGACGGAGGGGAGGCGGAGTCACTAACACAGGCGAAGGGGTGTCACCGACGGCGGGGTTGCCACCATGACGGCAAAGGGGTCACCGACACAGGGCGGCGAGGACGCTAAGAGAGTCTGTCTGCAAGGCCGGCGGCCTTAGTGTAAGACGGAACGTCTTTCTGTAAGACCGAAGGCCTGTCGATGGCTCTGGCTGCCAGCTGTTGACAACAACAAGACGACATAAGAGGGAGCAGAGCGACTTGGCGTTTCGGAGAGCTATCGTATAAAAACAGCCAAACATTACATATGACACAACTATGACGATTTCAGTACCCGCGTCAGCCTACAGCTTCCTTCCATTATAGAGGCAACAACAACAAAAAAAAAAACGATCGGTGTGTGAGCACAGGGAACACTCATGAACATGACAGAAGTGGGGGCGCAGAGCAGCAAAAACAAAACTGTGTCAACGGTCAGGCATCGCAAAAAAGACCAGTGACATGTTACGATAACCCGGGTCATTGTAAACAAAGAAAACAAAGCCCGCAACATCGAAATAGCTTGACATGGTTGAATGAATCACTAACCTAGTTCGAGGCGAAAGTGTAGCTATGTTTTGATTGCAGGTTTCAATCATGGCTACTGATGTCGAGATGGAATTTCGCATTCATTCAGCCTATCTCAAACTCCCAGAAACAAATGGCAGTACCGTTCTCGAATAATCCACACAATCAGCTTCCAAGTTACAAAACAAATGAAATAACGGGCCATCAAGCCAAACTTCACTTCATGTCACGATATTTGATAGATGAACAGCTTGGTATACCACTTTCCATCGGATTTCTAAGAACTGCGCGAGATATTACGGCTTGGGTATCTCAACAGAGGTTTCACATTCCAAAACCACATGAGAAGCGCATTTTATATTTGAATAACACTCAGATCCATTTACATATAGGTGCTTTCCGACCAGGGTTGTACTCGACTAAAAAAAAAATTGCCGACTCGACTCATCATTCAACTTCAGAAAGCCCGACTCAACTCTGACTCAAACAAGGAGCTGATTTTTTCCCTTGACTCGACTCATGACTCAAGCGGCTCAATGAAAATATGAGTTGACTCAAACTTGACTCAAATTTTTGGTTGAGCCAAGTGTGTTGACTCAAAATTGACTCAGATAAAAAAGTTGTTGAGCGGGGGGGAGGGGGGGGGGGGTGAAAAAATCCGGCAGCAGGGTCAGGCCTAAGTTGTTAAGCGGGGGAGAATGAAAAGCTTATAGGTATATATTGTTTCTAAAAAGATGAGTCAGCTGACTCATGTTCCTAAATGTTTTTGACTCAACTCAATGTCAAAAGTTGTTTTACTGACTCAACTCTGACTCAACTCAACACCTTAATATTTTTATCTGACTCAACTCTGACTCAGCTCAACAGCTCAACATTTTATCCGACTCGACTCAAACCTGACTCATTTGAGTCAGAGTTGAGTCAAATTTCTGACTCGACTCATGAGTCAAGCACAACCCTGTTTCCGACCAACAAATCGCACCTCACAGCTTAGTTATGTCAATAAATACCAAACCCTGGCGCAGCTATCTGCGTCAGCGACACGCCCGGCCTTTCCACTAACGTTTAGCCGCTTGCTTTGACAGCACACCGCCATGTTTCTCGGTCGGAACTGACCTCAAAGTGGAGCTGCTGTCGTATTCGGCAGCTCCGTCGGAGCCCCGCCACCATCACTCGCGGGACCGCCTCCTACACTCGCCGAGTCACCCTCTCACAGCCTCAGTCGCCTCCCCTGCTCCCCGCGGGTCACTGACCCCACAGCACACCACTTCCCGATCCGCCGGTCCCGTCACCAGCTCTGCCGCTTCCGGTCACCACAATCTCCGCCCACCACTGATACACTATCAGGTGCTCTCGTGCGACCACGCCCACAGAGCTTCGAGCTTCGAGCTTCGAGATTCGAGGACCACCACGAGCAGAGCTTCGCCGTCCCGAGCGGGCCGCGCTTCTGACTCCTCTGCGCGTCGCCGTTACCGTCCGCCTTATATGTGGAACTTGCCCCCGCTGATGTGATGCAACTCTGCCCAGTCATCGCGCAACATAACATAGAACGTAATACCCAATCGATGACGTCTCGCAGGCACAGAGCCTTCTCAAACGCAGATCGGGTCGCCAATTATCTGGCGAGGCGCGTGTGTTGTTGGGTTACAGTTCTGGTCACCACACAGTAAATTGGATCATTTGTGGGGTCACACTCGGCGCTGAGACTCTCTCAGAATTGAATACTCAGATATGTGGAAAAACCCGGTACCGCGAATCAGAGACCGATGCCAGAGCCACCTAGCGGCTAATGGCTGAAATACGCCATCAGAGCTTCACAATAAAAAAAAACAGTGTCATCCGACTTGACATACAAGACGTACCTGATCTGGCAACTTCACCACAGCGAGATCTAGGAACATGAAGTTTTATAGGAAGCAACAACATAGTAACACGCCGTGGGACTATAATAGGAGGGCATTGACCTTGATTCGCCCGGGTACTGACCTCTGCACAGGTGATTCCATGCTGCGGGTACAGGCCGCCCAGCAGCGGGTTGTACCGGGACTGACTGACTGACTGACTGACTGACTGACTGACTGACTGACTGACTGACTGACTGACTGACTGACTGACTGACTGACTGACTGACTGACTGACTGACTGACTGACTGACTGACTGACTGACTGACTGACTGACTGACTGACTGACTGACTGACTGACTGACAGATTGGACTGACACCGGGTACTGACCTCTGCACAGGTGATGCCATGCTGCGGGTAGAGGCCGCCCAGCAGCGGGTTGCGCACCTGCTCCAGCGACTCCATCTGTTTGCGGATGTAGGCCGGCGAGGTGGGCGGCGTACACTCGCTGTCAATCACTGAGGGGAACGGGGAGGGGCGGTCAGAGAGGTCACACAGCGGTCAGAGGTCACAGAGGGGTTAGACAGGCTACAGAGAGGTCACATCATACTGCCATGAGGTTACATAGCCGTCAGAGGTCAATACAGTTAAACAATAAGTGTTTTGTCATGCTTCCTATGTCACATTTTGAAGGCTCACAATGCGATACATTGATGCAATGCTATGTAGATTGGACAATGCAAGCGAACCAATGGACATCCTTACGACCTACAGCTCGTCTATGAATGTTGCAGAAGTTCCTGAAACCTATGTCTTCATTAAATTCACCATTACAAATTTACAGCCTAACAGAAGCAAAATAGATGTCCCGGTCAACTCACCGGGTAAGATGGGGAAGAAGGGCGCCGTCATCATAGGCGCTCCGATGGGGATCAGAGGGGGGTACGGGCCCGGTCGGGACGGCTCACCCTCGCTCGAACCAGAGCTGACCGCCTGAAACACAGACAAGGGAAAGTGGGGGAGTTAATTCACACGGTGAGTAAGTGTTCATGGCGGGTGTCATACTCACTCCACCGTTTTTACTCACAATAAAGGATGAGTTATAAAGGGGATTGATAGCATGACTATCTGAGTGTGATTTGAGTACATCGCGGGACATGACAGGTACACCACACACATGAGCAGAACTGGTTGTTGTTGTACATGACTCGGCAAAGTTGAGGGCGTCAGTGACACACGCCGCCCAATCTTCCGAGAGGGGAAGGGTGTGCTGGTTCGCGGCGTACACTAACACACCGATCGCGTGTGAGCTGGTAAGGCAGATTCGTAGGAACGGACACCAATGGATCGCTGGAAACATGCGATAAAGCCGCGCGCTTCCAACCAGCTTCGTAGACGTCACAACCTTCAACTGCAGCCGCCGCGCTGGTTGACGCAGCAATACGTGTGACGGAAAACTGGTACGACCAACAAACCATGAATGCAGCGCTAAGCATCGCTTCATCGTACCCATCGCCCCTCTAAAAAGCCCACAAAGCTGAACCACGAGCACCGCCAAAGCGCTAACTAGCTCCACTCCCTCCTTGGAGGTCCATACGAGTCCCAGGGGCTCTCGTAGGGCGGCCGTAGCCACTTCTGCGAACCCGGCGGCCCGTCGGCCATCTTGCAGCGAGCTCGGCTCCCGGCCGGCCGGCGGAGCATCGAACGTCGGCGACTCTATTTCAGTCCATCGGCGCAGTAGTTCCTAAACACGTCCCACGGGCGCCAGGGGGGGGGGGGGGGACCGGGGGCAGCGGCCGGTCAGGGACGATCGACCGGCGCCAGGCGGATGTCCGTAGCCGGCTTTGTCCCATGGACAGTTCCGGCGCCGACGAAACTCGATTACGTTCGACCGACGGCGCCGCGTCGAGGGCGACGACGACGCCTGGGTCCCACAGCTGCCGGCGGAGTTTCGGGAGGCAGTGCAGTGCTTCCGCCGGAACCGGTGGCGGAATTCATGGCGCTGCGACACGTGACGGCAGGTGTGGCGAAAGTCTCCAGGGAGTACCCCGACATCCGTGCTTTGCATCCGTGCATCCGTGCTCGCGGAATTACACATTAACCAACGCGAAACGCATTCCGTTTCTCCACCGAATTCACCGAGATACCTCTTCGCATTGTCGCAGGGCGGCTAGCAACCCACAACTCGTCACACAACTCATCACAACAACAATACAACATCTGTCGCTGAGAACGCAAGGGGTTTGGGGGTTTCCCAGTCGTTCCGCTCTATTACAACCAATCCAACAGGGCCACCTTCATATCACTGTCGCCATCTTCCGCTACATCGATTAACACCAACGCTAGGTGTCGTTCACGAGCTCTCCTCACGTCACTTCTGTCGTTCCTACAAGTCACAACCATCATGAGTTCAACAACACCGCACATGCACTGTGACCATTCACCATCAGCTGCATCCTGATCATCATCATGACCATCAGCATCATCAAAGACACAAAGCAGCGCCGCCGAGAGACGAGTCGATACAGGGCAGAGGACTGGGGTGTATCGTTACTAGCTCTGCCGCTCGTCCTGGCGTCTTGTCTGGACTCTCGGTCGATGCAGGGTATAATGACAATCGAAGGCGTCCGTGATGAGACAGAGCGACAGACAGAGAAGAGCTCGGGGGAGGTGGAGAGAGGGGAGGATGGGAGAGGAGAAAGAGAGGGAGAGAGAGGGAAAGAGTGAGCGATTGAGAGAAGAGAGAGAGAGAGAGGGAGACAAGAGAGAGGGAGAAGGAAAAACAGTGAGTGGAAGGGGGACCGACAGCGAGCGAGAGAGTGAGAGAGAGAGAGAGAGAGAGAGAGAGAGGGGGGGGATGGAGAAAAAATGTAGAAAATGACAGAGAGAGACGGAAGGTGAAAGGAAAGAGAGCGAGAGCGAGAGCGAGAGCGAGAGAGAGAGAGAGAGAGAGAGAGAGAGAGAGAGAGAGAGAGGGAGAGAGAGGGAGAGAGAGAGGGGGAGGGAGAAAAAGATGTATAAAATGACAGAGAGAGGGAAGGTGAAGGGAAAGAGAGAGAGAGAGAGAGAGAGAGAGAGAGAGAGAGAGGGGGGGAGGGAGTGAGACAGAGAGGGGGGAGCCCGCCGGCCGACCAGCAGGTAAAGGTCACTCGATGGTCACCGTATCGATCCCCGGCCGTCGGCGCCGGTCACCGGACAACGAATGGTGTGCCGCCCAGTCAGGGGGCAGAGGTGACCTGACCTGACCGGCACGACCCGCCAGGGAGGCGGCACACCCACAACGCACAGGAGAGCGCAGGGAGTCAGACAAGGTTCCCTCAAAGTGACGTTAAATTTACCGAGTAGAAGACTGAGGACAGCCGGTCACATTAGGTCAGGTCCCTCGAGGTGCTCGACTCACTCGAGTACTACAGTTCTCGCGCTGCCAAGACCAAAGAAGCCGTATTGAGGAAAACAGACCCAGAGGGTTTCCGTTGCGTGGGTGGAACTACGCTCTATTTGCGGCCTAGCCAGAGACTTTCTGTGACATCGGCGGCGGCGCCCGGCGGTGACGGCGGTGGTAGTACCAATCTAACCGCGTCAGACGCAGGAGCCAATTCATCATGTCGGCAATGGAGGCCAGTTGCTCTGATGAAAGTCCCAGAATCATGAAATGATGGGTATTCATCACTCTGGTGCTGGAGACCCTCCATGCCAGCCCCATCGCCCGTATTCCGACATAAAAATCTCCGTACACGTTCAAACACAATCCGTATTCTTTCCACGCGCTCAACCTTTACGTGACACGGGAGCACAGGCCGTCGAGCGCTCATCGGACGACGAAATTCATGAACGATCGGCCATCGATCCCCAATCAGGCGACGCTCGTGTCGTGAGGGCTGTGGCGGTCATGACCCGGGGCCAAATGACCTCAATTATCGAGCGGTGTACGAGACGCGAGGTCTGTGACGCGGGTGACCCCGGCTCGACCTGGACATGCGACAAGTCCCAGTTGACCGTGGAATGAGGAACGGGGTAATGAATAGACGTAAGCGACGGTGAGGCGAAATGCGAATGCAAAAAAAGAGGTGGCGAATTATGAATACAGCTGTAAATCGAGACCCAATGTTATATAATAGCCGCATGTTTGGAACTGACGATTTGACGTCAGAACGGAAACGTAAACAGGAAGCGACAGGGGCGCGAATCTATCTGTTTGTTTGTTTGCATTTGTGATTGCAGCCTGAAAATATGTGTGCTCTTTGCAACCCATTTGCAGCCAGAGTTCAGAAATAATGGTAGGTATGCGGTTCAGCCGAGTAAAAACATGAGCTTTTTTGCTCAGGCAGTACAGTTCCTTCCTTCAGCTGATAACCCTGCTTCACACATTGTAACGTGAATTGAGAGTTGGCTCTACGATATGCCGAGGTACCCAGTGAAAACTGGTATCACTGACTCAAGCCGATTAAAGATTACCGTAAGGTCCAATGGGCCCGTGGGCACGGTTCGTGTTGAGCCATGGCAGAAGCCAATGTTGTGTTGTTGTCCCCGCTTCCAACAGTCCTCAGGCTCGCACTCTCCTTTATTGCGTCCGCTCCCGGTAACCGACTCCAACACACTCTGATCATTGCTGCCGTCTTCCGAGGCTCCTCGCTTTTCCCAGCTGTTTCCCGCCTCCCGGTCGCAGCTGCGCTTAGTTTTCCGACAGATGCTGGCTCTGACGGCTGAGCTCGGGTCGCTTCCGACAGGTAGCCATCCAGTGACCCGCTTGTCCACAGCACAGACAAAATGCTTTCGGTCTCTCGGACACATTTTGTCCTCTCGGTGAGGCATGCGGACAGTTCCTTCTAAAGTGACCCGGCTCCCCACAGCCGAAGCACCTTGCTTCTCTTCTCTTTCTTTGGCGGTCCTTTCCGTCCTTTGAATTCTGCGCCTCTCCGATCGCAGCGACGACGCCCAGTACCTCGTCTAGTTTCTCCTGCAGCTTATTAACTTTTTGTTCAAGCTGGTCTGCCGATTTTGGCGCTTTTGCTACGAGCACCTGATCGGACGGCCTTTCCTCTGCGACACTCGAGCCACCGACGGCTCCGATCGCGGCCAGAGCATCCCGAGTCTGACGGAGACTTCGCACTTCCTTTAAGGCCTCGTCTAAACTGCTCAAGGGTTTATCCATCAGTTTTTTTCTGCAGCCAAGGCTCTTTTAATCCACACAAGAATTGACTCACCATAACCGACTGTAAATCGGAGAAAGATTTCTCGGGGTAGGCACTCTTGGCCAACCCCTGGATTCTGTCGCCGAAGTCCTCAAGTGATTCTCCTGTTTGTCTGATAGCTTGGTTGAGGTCCGAATATGCGTGAATACTGCTCACGTCTTTCCCAAAGCGTGCCTTTAGCGCTTTCTTTACCTCGGCGTATTGCCCTCGCAGCTTTCCCGGCATCGACGTGCACACGTCCAATGCCTTACCGTCTAGGCATATAAATAACGCTTCGAGCCATTCGCTTTTGTCCCCCAAGCCTGCTAGCAGCTCGAACCGCTGGATCCAAACATCCCAGCCTTCGTCGTTACTTCCGTCAAATTTCTTGATCCTAGAAATGAGGCGCAGCAGTTTGTCCGAACGGGTTTTCTGGCCTGGTTGTTCTTTCTCATCCATTGCTTTTTTTGTGCACCGAGTGACAGGCAGAGTACACCTCTCGCTGCCCCCGCCTCCAGGTGAGTTATCGAGTGCGCAGTGGAGTGCACCTCTCACTGACCTCGGCAAAAATAAGAATGCAAAAAAAAAAACACAGCAACTGCTGCCCTAACCGGGATAAGTACTTAATAATGCTCAGTAACAGAAGTCAGACGTAGCTTCTTACCTTCGACCGCGCCAATGTTGTGTTGTTGTCCCCGCTTCCAACAGTCCTCAGGCTCGCACTCTCCTTTATTGCGTCCGCTCCCGGTAACCGACTCCAACACACTCTGATCATTGCTGCCGTCTTCCGAGGCTCCTCGCTTTTCCCAGCTGTTTCCCGCCTCCCGGTCGCAGCTGCGCTTAGTTTTCCGACAGATGCTGGCTCTGACGGCTGAGCTCGGGTCGCTTCCGACAGGTAGCCATCCAGTGACCCGCTTGTCCACAGCACAGACAAAATGCTTCCGGTCTCTCGGACACCAATAAACAGGGGTTGGGGGGAGCACAGGCACAACGAGAAGCGAAGTCAAGCCCAGACCTTCACTCGGGAAGGCACCTTCACTCTGGAAACACTGGATGCTGCCCTTTCGAATAAAACGAATAAAATAAAAAATAAAAATAAAACGAGTAAACGCGATGGCAGTGGTCGTTCACGTCCCAGACTCTCCCTGTTTGACATAAAACAGAATTGCCGCAATTATAGTTTAATTTTTATTTTCCCAGGACACCAGCCCTCGGAACTAGATAAATTGTTACTCCTTTTCGTCTCCGGCTGTCGGCCGCCCAGCAGCCGCCGCCATGCGCCGTCTGGTATCCGACGTACCGTTGCCAGATGAGCCCGAAATACAGCCCCGTCCACCGGCGCGGCGGCGGCCAAGGTCGCCACCGCAGCCCCGCGGCTGCCGTCGCTGCCGGCGGAAGCAGCCGAATGGATGGCCCCCGGGCCAGCGCGGCGGACGGCGGCCGGCGCCCGGCCGGGGCTGCGGCCAGCCCCGCCGGCGCCCGGCCGGGCTGCGGCCAGCCCCGCCGGGCTGCGGCCAGCCCCGCCAGCGGCCGCGCGAGCTCAGCACCCTGCAGGCAGCGCTCCGGCGCCGGCCGTCGCCAACAGACGGCCACAAACTTGGAGACCGTCGCGCTTTTACGGTGCCATGAAGGCCGGCGTCCCCAGCAGCGGCGCTCGCCAGCAGCGACAGAGTCCCTTCCGGGAACCCGCCGACGCCGCAGACGAAACGCGGACGTACTTTCGGCGAGCGAGCGAGCGACGTCGTCCGTTGCCGGCGATCGCCGCCGGTTGGTTATTGGGCTTTAGAGCCGGTCGGCCCTCAGCAGCCGCCATTTCTCCGCCGCTGGAACTGAGCAGAACAGCGTCTCCTGCGCAGTAGCTGCCGCTTATAACGTGGTCCGGAGCTGCAGCTCAGCGCCAACGCGTCAGCACCAGACAGCCGTAACTCGCGCACGATACAGAACAGAGGAGACGCTCTGAGCTCCGTCCGTTTGGCCCCAGCTGCCGTCCCGTTTCAATGTCAGTCTTAGAGGGCGCGGCTGCTCACCGGTAAACGGTGCGCCGGCCGCCGGGGGCCCGGCTGAGGCGGTCCAGGCCGGCGGCCAAAACAATCACTGCCGGTGGAGGCAGAACAAAGGAGCGGCGCCGCCCGGATGTCCGCGATCGGTCACCGACACAGACATTCCAACCGGACAAAACCAGTCGGCATTATTCAGCGGAGGCGTGCACCCCATCATACGTCGGACGAATGGATATGTCATGATAGCTATCCGTAAAAAAAAACGAGCTGATACAGGCCATTAGCGCTCTGGCGCACAATGGCTGGTGGAAGATAAGGACATTATCCGGATGATCGGCTCGGTGAGTACGAGATGGATATGATTTCCACCAAACGATGCGCGACTTCGGTGAGCACAGCAGTTCCCTTCGCTTTCGATCGCCACACGTGACATGTGTGGTGAACATCCGCCCGGTCTAGTGATGTCGGCTGCACTCCTTAGGATCACCAGAGTACTTCGGTCCAGGCGAAGCTCGACAGTACACTACAGGGCAGCTGGTACTGTGGCAACCGAGTTACCCAAACTCCGCTCAGCGTTGGACAGAGCTCTCCAGAGCAGGCGTCATGGCGACAAAGCCGCCAATACCCCGCCCAGCGCTCGCCGTTGCACGACACCAGCCCGGCTGCCGGGCCGTCCACAACTTTGCCGCGCCCTTGAACGCTCCACTGGACGCGAGTAGCGCAGTCGGCGACTTGTAGGTCGGAACTAGCCGGTCGCCGCCGCCTCAGTACCCAGAACTCAGTGGTGTGTATCCAGCAGACTGAGCTCATAAGTCATAACCTCCCAGGTCCCGAGAGTCGTCTGAACGGTCCAAGTTCAGTCATCTCGCGGCTGGTCGCCGGTCGGGGCCGGGCCGAGCGCGGCTCCGTCGGCCCGTCGGCTTCAACGGCGGCACCGCAGGGGTTATTTCGGCGCGGTCGATCGGCTCCGAGCAGCACTCTCCGGGGACGCCCGAAATACTCGGCCGGCCGCCGCGAATAGGCCAGTACTGCGCAGCGCCCGCCACTAGCAGGCCGGGTGTATTAATACCGGCCCGGCCCACAGAGGAACCGGGTCAGTAGAGGCTAGGAGCCGAGTGGCCCGACTGACGGCCATCGCCCGGATGGGGAGAGCCGGAGGGGTCAGCGAAGACCGACGGCGAGCCGGGAGGGGAGGGAGGGAGTCAAGGTTAGAGAGGATGGATTGATATGTGGTGGTGAAGAGACGGGAAACTGACAGCTGAGAGGAAGGAAGAATCATTGCTACATGACGGCGATAGCATGTCTTGCGGCCCCACATGAAATAATTCTGTACTAGACTCAGAATCGATAAGCCAAGCCCCATCGCTCGGCACCCCACGCCCGCACGCCAGTCACCCCATCAGTCCGCCCACCGCTGACGTGGCTGTCCACTGCTGGGCACCCCAGGTCAGCATTGGCCCGCCCCCCGCCCCCGGCCGCCCACCTGCCCGCAGTGTCGCCTCGGGCCAAAGGTCGCCCGGCGCGCGGCCAACTATTAGCACGCCCCGTGTCGAACCGTCATCGTCGCGCGCCGCCCGGGGTCGGGTCACGCACTGACAAAGGTCAGGCTCATTGGAGCACCGTCCGGCATCGTCGTCGGTGGGGCTAAATGGCTGCCCGCACGGACAGCACGGAGGGCGATCCCTGTAAGGTGCGGCATGGGGCAGGACGTTTCCCAGTGAAGGAGCAGACAGTCTGCTGTAGAGGTAGACTGGACGATGGAATAATCATATCGGGTTCGATAACCACGGTTACGTACTGAGAACACGTCAAAGCCAAATCAGTGACAAAGGAGATCCATTGGCTTCCCTCACAGAACATAACCGGACATTGATGTTCAAAGGTCACCAAGTCTGGAATATCGTTACAGCATTCGTTCATATACTAACAAGGGTGGATGGCGTTAAACATTATGACAAGTTATGACGTGTGGACAGCGACTGAGGCGAGGCCAAGACCACTCCGCGGTCAATAGTCTGTCCACGACCACGGCTGTTTTCCACGAAACGTATGGAGACCAGCCGGGAGGCACTGGCTTTCTCTGCTTCCGGATATGAACTTGAACAGGCTACGAACGATATCATCGATATCATCCTAGATCACCAACGCTAAAAACTACCTGGAAATCAAGATCAAGGTAAAACACCTGCACTCGCACTTCGACGACATCGATGACAACATTCGTTTTTCATCGACAACAAGTAACAATACTCGACAACAGCGACGCTTTTCAAATACATAAAAGCATCACTGAGATGCGTGAACATAAAAATCGGCATTCTTAAAAGTTAGAAGCATCTTTCATCTTTATATTTACAAGATCTTACAGCTACGGTCTTTCCCCTCATTCGCGATTAAGGCCTCCTCTATCCCTCTCACTATACTAAAACAATAACAACTTCGCTCGCACCACCTTCCCATGAAGCCCACTCCAACCGTGACTCACGAAACCCGCCCTCCCGTGACTCAATAAACCCACACTTCCCGTGACTCACGCTCCCAGCGTTATAGCGCCGTTCACGTACCGTATGTACGGGCGGCCGTCCCAGTGAGATGTTGGGCATCGACGGGCTGCTGTAGAGGGACACCTCCGGCGCACCGCCGCCGCTCAGCCCGGCCAGGTGGAACGGCAGGCCGCCCGCCTCCTGGGGACGGAGAAAGAGACGAGACAACCGACCGTGAACATCGGCGATAAATGTGCATGATCACGAGGGGACACAGACACAAAAGGACCTTACAGGACGGCAAACGTAAGCACACGGTTACGATAAGACACAGACACAAAAAGACTTTACGTCAGAAATTACCAAGAAGTAGTTCGTCATGGCTAATTCCAAGCACACATCCGGTGCACAGACACTGCTCTGCAGTGTGTTCCGACCCAGCTATCACAGCCAATCAAACAGCTCAACCTGCCCATCTACATTTTGTCACTCTCCGTCCACCAACCCTCCACCGCGCTCCACCCCATCACGGCGCCTCCCCTCTCCGTCGTCCGTACGGCATGCCCCGTGGCGTGTCCACCCGGCCGGCAAACCGCCAGACATGGTGGTCGCACGGCGCGCCACCCGCGGCCACTATTAGTACCGCGTCGGTGGTCATACGAGAGAACCGCGGTCCGAACCACAGTCAGACCAGGAAGGATCAAAGTCCGCCGTCGGTACTTTTGTGATGGCTTTGAAATTTTTTCTAGTATCTGTAGATTGTCTTCTGTGCTATTGAGACAGAGCGTTTGAACTCAGAGCTTGGAGGGTGGCAGAGCTTCAGAGGAAGTAAAGGGTCTCTCAAACAACTAACACAACGACGATACACGCGATCTTACTAGGCCATCCAGAAGCGCATTTCCTTTTTTCCTTCCGTCCCACAACATCGGTCAGTGGTCCCAGAACGCAGCTCGGCCGAACCAGACCTCAGGTAACGACGCGTCGACGGTCGCCCGTCCGGCCCCTGATTTGTCTTTCATAACCTCAACCGGAATCTATCGACCAAATAGCCGGCCCGGGGACTCCCCTGCAAAGGTCAAAAGTCGCGACCCGAGCGGCGTGACATCGGGGGTCATCGCCAACGCTCGTCACGCGCCGTCAACGGCTTCAACTCAATACAGACGTCCTACGACTCGCGTAAAACTGGGGCGTCGTATTTACCGCATGCCAACTTCAGACAGGTACTTTCACGCGGCACTGTCACTAGGTCGGAAGCCCTTAGCCGATTCCGACACAAAGACCTAACAAAACCATCTCCAAACATACGAGCTCCTTACGACGGTGTATTTCGAGACAGGAATTCCCCGGCAAATGTTGAAATGTGAATGCACGTCTGTTTTACGATGGGTGCGGCCCGCATGAAAGTTATGAGGCCCTTCACGGACCAGCTGTTGCCAGGAAACAAACCAGACGCGTCCGACCGTTAAAGGGGAGGACAGGGATGGCGGATATACTGGTGGGGGCAGGAAATGCATGCTTACGTAACAGCGGGAACAACAATATCCGGGGCTCCCTCAGCGGCGCACCTTACCCCGTACCCAGACGCCTCCAGACCCGACCCCACCCTCGCCCCTCACCTCCTACCTAGACCCCCGACCTGGCCCTAACGGCGCCCGACTATCTCCTACCCAGACACATCCCGCCCTGATCCCACCGTCGCCTCTTACCTCCTGGATGGGCGTGCCGCCGCGGCCGCCGGCCATCAGGTAGGAGGCGCTCGGCGGCGAGCTCGGGTCCGACTCCGGGGTGCTGGTACTGGACTCCACTGCGGCACGGGAGGTCACTCAGGTCACTGACAGAATCGGTACGGTACAACATGGCACGGGATGTGACGGTAAGGTACTGAATAGCACGGTTCAGCACGGCATTACACTGTACGGCACGGTCCAGCACGACGCAACACGGCACAGTAAGGTACCGAAAAGGTGCGATACGGTACAGCACCGAAGGCATGTCCTGCTGTTGGCGACCTAGTTGCTCCCGTGATCTCATGTTCCACACTGAATATAGGCGTGAAAACAAGGTTATAGTGAACTTGGGATGGACAGATAACACAAACAGACAATCAAAATATATGGCAAGGAGACATACATAATCAAGGACGCCCCGATGGAACAACTGCCGTCTAGACGAGACCGGTTTGCACAATATACCAGGACAAACAGCACAGACGCCATATTCATAGTATGATTTACCGAGAAATAAGCACATGCATTACACCGCTCGGCCGTGGTGCGGACGAAAGCAGGAAATTGCAGGCTTTAGGCACGTCTAACCAACGTAACAGAGCCAGAGGTCAGGGGGTACATCATAGAAGCACTCTGTCGGCCGCAATAGTTGGACTTTTTGTCAGATCTGATAGCAGGAACAAAACCATTGCACCACAAAGCGTGACAGAGTGATTGACATTTCCAGAGCGAAAAAACGTAGTAGATGAACAGCTAGCGTTCATTATTGCATCAGCAACCGTTTACATGGAAAAGCATCAAATGCACTCTTGGATGAGTACTGAACGAAATATAAGGAATATAATAATCGGCCTTTTCATCTTAGTCATGAGACAGCCACATCGCATCGATGGCTGCTACCCACACAAGTACGAAATAACGAGAAAGCGTCCGCACAGCTACAGCAGCCCTGTTGCTTAGCGTAAAAACTCCGGATGACACTGGATATGAAGCCTCGCAGATCCTCCGAATATCTTCCTTTATGCGAACCAATAAACACATGCCACGACACAACACATAAGACGCGGTCCAATGTCAATAAACATTTCAGTGTGCCAATGATATCGTATGAAGGTGATGAGTTGGACACTGGACAGTCCGACATTTCCTCATACCAACGGACAATGTCGAATGCCACTGACGGCAGCAACATGACTACTGACTAGACATACAATAATGTTTCGGCATCATACGGTACAGTAATCCTACGGTTCAGTAATGCTTCCAAACATCCGGGATTTATAATCCAAGAAACAGATACAAGCACAAATAAAAGGTATTACATCTAATTTTCTTTTCCGATTTCCATCCCTCCTACAAAGACAACGAAGACCAGCAACGCAGCATTTGCAGACTCAGTTTCTGCTGACGTCATATGCAATGTGCATGGAGGGAAGTGTTGGTCTGGTAACGACGACTGATAGATGAGCCGACCCTTATTAGCGGTTGGCTGGTCCCAGCAATTCAGACTGCGGTGTACACAACTTCGGCCACGGCGACTGCGCGCGAGTTCGTTCGCTCCCAGCCGTAGCTAACTTAGCATGGTCAGGGTGACACGAAAAACGTCAATCATTGTTGGTCGCACGTCCAGGCATTGATATATGGTGTCCTGAATCAGGTCATGATCATCTAAATCGCACCATAGCCTGTTTCAGTGCACAACCGCGCACTGTGTAGTCTTCACTCGCCGGATCGGTAAATGTCAAACGAGATTAGCTAATGCTAAACAACCAAACGTTCAGTCTACTCTTGCCTCAGCTAGTAACCGCAGGTTGTTTGAAAAGACAAACACTATTCGTTAGAATTGTGTTTTTCTATTGAAAAACAACCGGAGCGGTCGTTCTCCGGGCTATGTTTTGCAAGTCTGGCAGCGAATCGAGACATCTTGACCGGGGCCTAGACGAAATGTACAATCGTCGTAAAAAGTTCAGTGTATAGGCTCCCGGAGGCGATCTACCTGATGGCAACGGTCGCTACTCGCTTAAAACCTCGTGGCACGTGGCACGTGCGATTCCATTTTCCCCATGTTAAGTGAACGGGGTTTTGGACACTTTTTGCGCGATCGCCAATGGCGGGAAAACGAGCCAAGAAGGAGGTGGTTTTCTTCCCAGCATTTTATTGCAAACACGTTCAGGTACACGCCAGTGTGCACTGTATACCCCTCAGAATCTCGGAACGTGTCTTTGCACGAGGTCAAAGTTGGAATTTTGCTGTGTCCCATGTTAAGTCAATGGACGGCGATGTCGAGACTTTGCAGATACATTTTCATTCGATCTTTGTACAAAATTTTAGAGATAGATTTCGCCCAAATTCTTATATCATGTAGAGGAAAGAGCATAGTACTTGCTGGTATGCTTCGTTAAGGTGGCAAAACTCATTTTTTCTTTTAAAGTTAATTTGAAATTTAAATTTTTTAACATGGAAAGTCAATGGGAGCGTCTTTATTCCTCTATAACTTTTAGCTTTAGTAAGATATATAGGTGAAAAGTTAATATAATATGCAACTTTTGATGCTCTTTCCACTGATGCATAGGACGTCACTGCACGATGTGCCGTTTTTAAGAAAAGCTGTAAAAAATCAGGGCTCGACTGTGACTTGAACCCAACCACATTAGAGTATACGAACAGGTGACGGGGATACCTCCCGTGTGCGGATGCGACACTGATTATTGCTAAATATTAGCATTCGGCCGCCTTGGGGGCGCCTTGCAAAGCTTCTATCTCCACAACTACTTGACCAATTCACTCGCGGTCTTTTGTGTGGGATAGCTTCTTCCTTTCTTACACGTAGTGTGCTATTCTCGATGCGTATGGGTGACCCCTAATGCACGTGCCACGTGCAAAACGATGAGAAGTCAGTTCAGTAACAAGTCTAATAACTCTGTAGTTAGTTTGCCGATTGCGCTGGTACTTTGCATGGATGCTGGCACGCACCCGGCAATGCATTTCCATGTGTCACGGTTGGGGTGCCGCTGCACGTGCACACGGGCAGGGTGACGCTTCCAGATCTCGAGAACGGCTGGGCCGATTGTGATCAAAGTTGGCACACCGCTAGAGGCTGGTAAGTAGGGTGCCGTGCACAAGTCAGATGGGACCCGTTATGCACGTGCGCACGTGCAGGCTGACGCTTCCAGATCTCAAGAACGGCTGGGCCGACTGTGCTCAAATTTGGTATACCGCTAGAGACTGGTTAGTAGGGTGCCGTGCACAAGTCAGTTAGTATGTATTTTCATGTGCCACGGTTGGGGTGCAGCTCCACGAGCGCACGTGTAGGGGTCGCTTACAGATCTTGAAATTGACGGGGCCGATTGAGCTTCAATTTGGTACACCGCTAGAAACCGGCGAATAGAGTGCCGTGCACAAGTCAATTGGGGCCTAGGCTGCACGTGCGCACGTGCAGGGTGTCGCTTCCAGATCTCGAAAACGGCCGGGTCGATTGCACTCAAATTTGGCACACCGCTATAGACCGACGAATAGGGTGCCGTGCACGTCAGTCCGTAGCACACCGACTCCGGTCTGCACGTGCAAGGCTCATCCTCTCGTTTGGTGGCGGGCGTTTTTGCTGCGTTTACAAAGGTGCTTGCTCAAACAACCTGCGGTCCCGCGATGCGGAGCCCGGCATCGCAGATGCCGGTCTATGAATGACGGCAAACTGCGGCAGTGCTCCTCCCAGTTAGCTCACTGACGGAAAATGAAGCAAATTAAATCAGTTCTTATACAAAATATACAACAAACCAGCCTGTTTGAATAATGCAGGTATTATTATTGAACTGGGACGGATTCATGTTCACACTTCACGATAAATTATTCATGCTGTTTCAATCTATTCCTTGGGGGACTAAGGAAGCTGTAGCGGCTACGAAAGTTAAAATAATAATAATAAAAGGATGGTGTATGAATAATTTACCACGAACCTGTAAATGAAGTTATCAAAGTTTACAAATTAGGTTACTGGTTAGTGCGTGGGATAATGCAGGTAACACGCATCAAAATTCAAATGCATAAAATATAAATGTAAAACGAACTTGCGAGATTAAACCCGAAGGCGGTCCAAAAATAACTGAAAGGCGCGGGAGGGTGGAAAACATTCAGTATTCCCTCGTCAGGACGCTATTTTCAATCATTACGTCGCATATGCCATTCACCAGTCTTAGCCACGAAACGAAAAGAAAGATATTATTAGTACCGGTCTTGTCCATTTTCCAGGAACTAATCGCTGGCGCCGGTGTTATATTCGTGTCCCCTATTAATACGTGTCGGCAGCGGTCTATGAATGACGGCAAACTGCGGCAGTGCTCCTCCCAGTTAGCTCACTGACGGAAAATGAAGCAAATTAAATCAGTTCTTATACAAAATATACAACAAACCAGCCTGTTTGAATAATGCAGGTATTATTATTGAACTGGGACGGATTCATGTTCACACTTCACGATAAATTATTCATGCTGTTTCAATCTATTCCTTGGGGGACTAAGGAAGCTGTAGCGGCTACGAAAGTTAAAATAATAATAATAAAAGGATGGTGTATGAATAATTTACCACGAACCTGTAAATGAAGTTATCAAAGTTTACAAATTAGGTTACTGGTTAGTGCGTGGGATAATGCAGGTAACACGCATCAAAATTCAAATGCATAAAATATAAATGTAAAACGAACTTGCGAGATTAAACCCGAAGGCGGTCCAAAAATAACTGAAAGGCGCGGGAGGGTGGAAAACATTCAGTATTCCCTCGTCAGGACGCTATTTTCAATCATTACGTCGCATATGCCATTCACCAGTCTTAGCCACGAAACGAAAAGAAAGATATTATTAGTACCGGTCTTGTCCATTTTCCAGGAACTAATCGCTGGCGCCGGTGTTATATTCGTGTCCCCTATTAATACGTGTCGGCAGCGGCAGGGACGGCGCACGCAGGTCCGCTGACAGCCGGTCCTTATTAGGTGCGTATTGACCGGGCCTCTATTCTCGTCCGGCGGACGTTGCCGTGACCTTTGACCGAGGCCGGGCCACGGCCGTCACGGCCGCAACCGGCGTGGTTTATGGGTACGACCAATCGACGGATTTTCCCAACCCAAACACAAGTTCCATGAAGATTATTGGGTTGTTGACAGCATTAAGGATGCCACAGAGGGTCAGCTCACCATTCGCTTGCCAAAGAAACGTCACTTACATGCACTGAGCCTAATCGAAGAAGCGCGCTTCAAGGTTGACAGCATGGACAGGATGGGACAATAGCCACCCCGCGCGAAGCCAGACAATATGGAAAAGCAGTCCACACACGGGTCGCCCAGCCCAGTAAGCCGTCAAAACCGGCCCGGCAACCCGGCTTGCACGGGCCGGGCCTCGGCGGCCGATCCGACCGCCAGGCGCCAGAGTTGGGCGCCACACCACGTCATACCGCCGCACCGGCGGGCTGGAGCGGCCGCACCGACCAGCCAACACAGCAGATAACGCAAATTACACACGGAGCTAGATGGAGGTGGAAGGCACTTCCACAACACAGTTTATGATGAACGTAATGCTCCTGATCGGGTGAGAACAAAAACAAAAATGATCAATTTTGACAGCTTACAGTTCATATCCTCCGAAAAGTGTGCCCATATCCGCCACTGCCAGCGCTGAATCAGCTTGGTATACGAAAACTGAACTGTTTCTGGTTTACCAGCAAGTGCAGAAAAGAGTCGACCAGTTGCAAGCATATTGCAAGATATTCGCTACGAACGGAGTCGCTGCGGGCCTATTCGCGCACTACAGAGCAGTCTGAACATTATGAACGGATAACCCTGCGGTCTGCCGTTTAAGGGCACTACTCACTATGCTGAGTGGGGTCCACGAACTCGATAACTGGGGCCTGACGACGTAAAATCTCCCATCATGGCACACCAATATCCTTACAAAGGGGAAGCGAGTCACACGGAAACAAATCAACTAATCATTTAGCTGAACAGTGACACTAAAAAACATCCTGTCAAAAGTCTTAGGGGCAGCTTACTACACCCTGGTATGATGCAAGAAATAATACGGGGAGGTAAACAGGATATAACCCTATTAAACGGCAAAATCTAGGAGTTCCAAGAGGCAAGCGGCCATTAAACGGTTTCTACGAACACGGTCGCCGAGCACACCCACGTAAAACTGGGCGCTTTTTCTCTCTGCGCGTCCCTGAGTCGCGGATTACTGCCGTTCCAGCGATCGGCTCTAGCGATCGTGACAGCGACCGTACGGACCCTATCAATCAGCGCAAAGGCGGTGCACGTTTCGGCGAAACGCCGGCGCCGGACTCTGGGGATTCCAGGAGAACGCGAGCTGTCGCGCGTGGGTGCCGCCGCGACCTGGCGGAGGCGGCAGGGTCGCTGGGACAATCTCCGCCACACTAATGGGACAACAGGCTCGCTAAGACGACCTGCGCCGGACTGCCAGGGTCGGCAGGGTTGCTGGAATGATCCTCGCCGTGACCTGGCAGAGACAGCAGGGTCGCTGGGACAATCTTCGCCGCGTCGCCACGCTAATACAGGCGCGCTAGGACGACCTGCGCCGGACTGGAAGGGACACAGGGTCGCTGAGACGATCTCCGCCGTACACAGCTGGCGCCGGGAGACCGTGTCCCGCTACTGGAGATTTAGATGAACCCCATACACCCTCCAAGCCGATCAACAGCACCAGCTTGTAAACAAGATATTGAGTGGAAACGCTATATCTTAGCTCGCTGCTACCCATGAAAGGCTAAAGAATGTTGTACGCTGGAAAGGAACGAGATTTAGACGTCGACATGGACGCACCGATATGAGATTTCATTGGGCTGGCATGTTAAGCATGTTGCCGCATTGTCAGGTATCAATGTCGTCACACAGATGATTGATCGTTTTAATTTGGACAACTCAGAAAGGCCACGAACTAGCTTGCATGAGCCACCCTAACGTAATCACAAAGAGATTTAACACATCAGCTAAGCTACTGCTTTATACAGCGCAGAGTCTGTGCACTGTACACGCACTTCACAGGCATCTGACCACAACAATCGGTATCTAAACACAGGCTCCGAGACTCAAGATCACTGCGCCTGACCAGTTAACTCAGCCTTATACTATCATGTCTCGCCACAAGTCCCCACCATACACATTACACAGTACACACCTATTATCACATAAGCGTGCAACAGCACCCCCACAGCGTATCCATTTCAACACATACGCACAAACCCACTCACGCGGTTGATACTCACAGGTCAGCTTGCTCTTATGTTTGATGGGCCGTCCAGCCTGCTCGTGGAACCGCCGTCCCAGCGGTGAGCCGGCACACCTCTCCAGCACTCGCTGCTTGATGCGGGCCTTCAGGCTGATGTTGGGCTCCGAGGCTACAGGTTAGAGGGGCACACGGGTACGGGGCGGGGTTAGTACGACGGACACGGCACGGCACGGCACGGGGCGGCAATGGGTCAGTGCGGCACGGCACTCCAGGCGGGTTATCACACAAAACACCTTGTCGCGAGCGGCGTTTGGAGGGGCGAACTAGAGCCGTCTCATCTCGTGCGTTCAATGTTATGCTCTAAATTCAATTTATAACGCCTTTAAGCTATTTAGGTTTGGACACAAGCCGATGTTAACGCTCTAAAGTAAAACATTATAAGAATTAAAGCGCAAGTTGGACGGCGGTTTGTTGATGTCTGAGCCGGCCGCGGAGATTGGCCCGGTGTGGCCTCTTTGAATGAGTAGCTCGCCAGCCAACCACACCCGCCGATACAGCGGCGGCGGATGGCCGCCCGGGAATCTCGATATTTATACGAGCTCCGCTTTCTCAATTGAACACCCCAGCCAGCGACCGGCGGCCAAAACGTCCCTCACTCTTTGGAGCGGGGTGCCAAGGCGGCCCGGAAAGCGGCGGCGACCCGCCGTCGGCTCGACTCGAACGTGCGTCACAGGTGGCGAGCACGGATTCCTCAGATTCCGGCGGCGGCCCTGAACGGCGGGTGATTCGGCCGCAGATCGAAAATAGCCTCCGGGCGGCACCGGGGGTCAGTCTGGTACTGACAGCCGGTCACCGGGACCAGTCTGAGAGCGGTACCGCCCACAGCGCGGCACGGAGGGCAATCAGAGGCTGACGCGACCGGCGCTACCCACGCTGGGACCGGACCAGGAGCAGAGCATTTATACAAAATTCAGAAAACTGACTCTCCAGCTTGTCTGTGCGGTTTCCCTCAAGAAAGCACAGCACACTTTATTTTCTCATGCCCATTATACACACGACAAAGAGACGAAATGAACCAAAATATATCCCGAAGCCTACAATCCAACTTTACACTTCAACCTAAAACCATCCAACTGGAAATCCTCCTGCACGGCTCAGGCCTCGACGGTGTCGGCGGTCGGGCGGTGGCACGCCACTTCCAAAAATTTATACAAGATACTCACAGATTCTCATGCGTTTTCTAACTTCACCCGGGGACCCGGCCGGGCGCGGCCTCCTGGCGGGGCGTGCGGGGGCGGTGGCTGCGGGCGGTGGCCAGCGACGTGGCGGCGGTCGAGCGAACTTCTGACTGAGCGTATGTTCGAAGTATGAGAGATGATGAATGTGTTCAGACGTGTATGTATGTATGTATGTATGTTTGTATGTATGTGTATGTATGTATGTATGCATGTATGTGTGTCTGCGCTAGTATCGATGCATATTTCCGGTGCACTGCATCACGAGAGTTGACACCGAGACTTAAGCCCTTTGGCTTTTGTGCCTCCTCTTATTTTACTATATATTATGCGTTTAATTTGTATTACCAATAAACAGTTGATGACGATGATGATGAGAGGACCAGACTACACCAAAGGACCAGACGGGACCACAACGGGATCAGTAGCTGCTAATAGCATGCTCAGTAGCACCGCTCCTGTGATCTCGCTGACATGCCTCCCTGGCAAGCAACCGCTGATCAATCACGAACGTTAAGCTCGGTTTCTAGAGCGCAGACCAATTCAGCTAACAAAGTTACATGAAATTGACATAGTTGAGATGAAATCTTCACTAAACTCACTACAAATATGATGCTTTGCCAGATGCTGGGTTGAAATGTGGACGATAGTGAACGCTATGGTTAATACTCGATTTCACCAAACGACATAATCGTGAAACTTATCTTTCCCTCGACATGAAAAAGAGCTGGCGATTATCACACGAATACCATCTTGCAACTAAAGCAAAGTTTTCTGTAGCGCTATGCACACAAAATATCTTCTCGGCAATCTGAGCCTGGCCCAAGTGATCAATAACTTCTCCATCCTAGCGCCGTAGGCCTGCACCCTCACAGCTTCTCGTCAAATTCAGAGCACGCTCCGGACAGCGCACCATCCATGAAAACCAGATCACATGCGCGCAATTCCTTTGGCCTCGGGAGACCAATAACGCGCTGACCCGTATTCCCAGAAACTGACACATTATTTCCCGAAAGTAATTAGTCTGCACTGTGCCCCATGCGGGAATTTTTAACGCACATGGCGGCGGCTGTGGCGGCAACAGACGCGCATCGCCTCTCGGCGAATCTCCGCGCGCCAGTCTGGGAGTCAATTACAAGTTGTGGCACACCATGCGCGCAGCAGGGCTCCTGTATGAGGGCGGCGGTGTCGGTGGCGGCGGCATGCGTCATCGGCAGACAGACCGGCGTCACGGCGCCGGCACCCGATTACTGCCGGCTGACGGAGCAGAGTTACTGCCGGCTGACGGAACACAGCTCCGCGCGCCGCCAGTTCCACAGCGGCGACGTCGCAGAAAAGATTGACGTCAATCGCTCGCTCGCTCGTTTGGCTGTCGCTTGACGGCACAGTCCCCGGACACGATGGAACGAAGACGTGGGAGGAAATTAGGGCGCAGTCGTTAGATGTCTCATCAGAAGTGAGGAAAAAACAAGGAGGTCCTCTTCATCCTCAGCGAAGAAACGCCGAAGAGGAACCACATCGGGCCGCATAAACGGGGGTCGAACGGACCCGGCCCGCCACCGGGGATAGCAGAGCTCGGCCGCCCACCGCGCGAGGTGGCCACCGCGGGTCGGACGGCCCCGCCAACGCCGAAATAGAGTGGCTAAAAATGCCATCGGCCCCGCCGCTGAAGCGAGTCAGTGGGCCCGGTAGGGTCCACACTCCACAGCCAGGCAGGCAGGGTCGGCCGACCGCCGGCGCGGGACACGCAGTGGCACTCGCGGAGTCACACGCGGGGTACACGTGGGAGACACGTGGCTCAGAGCGCAGACGAGAAAGGTTAAAATGATGGCCGCGCGTGACAGCATAAACGACGCAATAGCCACGGCGGTGTTACTTCGAGCGAGCGCAAACCAATCTATTTCATAACGGAATGTTGTTCAATGCTCAAGACAGACATTAAGGGGTCGTAGCCACTAGCCAGGCATAACTAGAGGAATGTAGTTTATACTGCGTGCGGATACCGCAAAAGGAACAACACTCGCCAAACTCGGCCGCTCGGCCCGGCCGAAGCGGCGCGGCACGCCAAACTCTGGTCAAACTGCACACACACACACACGAGCAGGCGCGTCGGCGCACGTACCGGTTTTGCGCAGCGGGCAGAACTCGTCGTCATACTTGGAGAGGACCGGCGGCCTGTAGGGGTGGGACGTGGCGTTAGCTTTCTCGGTGGAGCGCTGGTGCACCAGGCTGTTCCGGCCGCTGGTGTTGCCGCTGCCGCCGGGTCGCCGACAGAACAGGCAGGGAGTTAGTGCACGGCACTCACACACAGAGAGTAAAGAGAGGGCGAGAGAAGGGGAGGCAGGCTGTTAGACACACTGGGAGACTCGTGGTCTCAGTAGGGCGGGGTTAGGGGCATCGGATATGAAAATTGAAAATTGGTTCTAGTTATAGGAAGCTATTCAAACCATGTCAGAAAATATGGGGTAAACATTACAACTAGTATGTTCTAGGAACTCGAACTGCAAGAATCGTGCAGCTGAGTCTACTTTAAATGCACTTAAATCAAGTCTCTAGCTAGAAGCATGCAACCATCTATCAACCAAACTACTGTAAGGCTGACAAGAACTTTGCAACTGATGCATCAAGGTCAAATAATCGCTTCGTTAAACAAGACTAGCCATACCAACCGCCCGGTAACACATTGCCAACGGGCCAGCATGCAGATCGATTGCGTTCAGTGGGAGCGACAACCGGGGACTAGCCTATCGAGTGACCGATCGTTAGCTTATCTATCGGGCAAGGAAGAGCTGCAATCGATGGAGTGTGCGTCTCTAATTATTGATATCAACCGCTGCCAAATATCAGCTACATCCAAGCAGCTCAGGGTCCACGACAAACGGCATATGCCGCTTCAATTTATGCCACTTTTTGAGTAGAACGTTTTAATCCTTTTTTATTGACAGACAAGTGCAACTTCCTTGCTCGGTTGCCCAGAGCGGCAGTCAAAATAAAATGAGATAATAATGCATGAATAATTGAATATTGCAAAAGAGTTTGATGAGATGCTTGATAATATGGTCTACCGTCTAAGAGTGCATCAAAATGCAGTAATAAAAACATCACATGTGTCATGGCTTTAACGACCACGGTTCCTTATGTGACGCATGGCGGACAGGCGATAGCATTGCAAAGACAGGCAAAGCATTAAGACCCAGTATGTATGAATAACTGCAGGTGCTAACAGCCAGGGAACCTATTAATAGTTACACGGAAATTCACGACGAATTCTTTGAAGCGTCATGATGAGGTTATGGTTGAGGCCGAGGTTGTGGCCGATGCATACCTCATGAAAATGGCATCCAAATTAATTTCTAAACCATAACAACGGCATAAAAGGCATGATCCAAGGCGAAAGACCTATTGATGAAACAAGAAATTAAACAACGTAAAAATATCACGGCCTATTGAGCCGTGTGGTTGGGAAGCGGCAGGTGGTCATGAAAATAACATCGACCCCTGGAACAACTTCCGGGGCCATCCGGCATTCTGGTCGCCATGGCAACGACGCACGACACAATCGACGTCGCGTCCGTCCTCGGTGGGGCTACTGACCCGCCCGGCGGCACGGTGACTTCATCGGTCACTGCGGGCTGAGTCACCCCCGGCCTGGTCTTCGCGGCGCCCCTGGCACTCCCCGGGATTCATGTCTCTCACCAACCGCCCTCATTAGTCTCCCCAGTTCCCACCCAGCCCCGCGTACCCTGATTCACCCCCCCCCCCCCCCCGATTGGTGCCACCTCCGCAGGCGACACGGGGGCTCGGAAATGACCCCGCACGACCGGCTAAAGGTCAAGGTCATCTGAGGACCGGGTCCGGTGCGTGATTTATTTAGCGGTCGGGCGGACAGCGAGCGACCCGTGTTGGTCGATCACCATCGGACGCCGGGCCGGGACACGCCGCAAAAACCACACCGAGGCGGAGACCGAGCAACGAGCCGTGGCGACGGTAGATTCCCGGAAAGTTTGCCATTGAAGGGGTATGACGATCTTTAAAAAGTGATCAAAAATGGACCAATATAAGATAAGGGGGATTTTAGCACGGTGGCATTCGTCCATGGAATTAAGATGTTAATGATAGGTACATTTTATCATTCTGCCGCTGCCCTAACAGAAAAGGGCACCTATGGGCTATGAGTGCGGACATAGATAATGATATGGGTAGAAAAGACTTTTATCAGCATGCCCAAAATGCAAATATCAGTGCACTGCTCCATAGAGTTTGGTTAAGTAACATGGATTCAGCACAGCGTTTCCCGTCTGCATACAACCGTAGCATACGTCATATGATATTCGCTAAGATAGTGCTGCAGCCACCCATACCCCACCACTGCAGGTAGTAACAGGACCAAAGGGGTGGGGGGGGGGACTAACAGGATTACCGAGGCATGACTAAAATGGCGATTAAATTGACCGTTATGTTGCTTTGCAATTCAGAGGTGCGTCGGCGTACAGAGCTGGCCAGTGAATAGGGGGTGGAGTTTCACTGCCTCACACAGGTGAGGGAGGGTGACAAATGATAGCCGGTACGTCGCCCCCTCCCCCCCCCCCCCGTAGTCAGTCCCAGAAACTACGCAGCGCGAGCAAGATTGTCCCTCGCGCTTCATCGCTCGAAAAATGTTGAATCCGAAGTACCTTTTTGAGGGGCAATGCTTCTATTCACTAGCGTTCCATTATATGTTCCAAGCAAGCGCAGATCATACAACGCGACGTGAGTGTGATACAGTAGTACGGCACATTCGGTTTATGCGTTATTTACGCTGAAATTGTATCTCTTTGAGTGAATGGAAGCGTGCTCAGAAGCACGAAAAGGACAAAATGATCTGTATGGTCCGCACACAGCTCTACAAGAGCTACGCCGGCGCTGGTCGTTTATATAAGAGCATAGTGTCTGTCTGGTGCAACCCATCATTCACTCCCTTGCCGGAAAATAACTAAATAACTAAATTAAAACTACGCAAGGCGTCTTTCATTAGTCGGCTGCCAGTATTGACATTATTGCCGCTGAGCATACACTCTACATTGCATTATATAATTATTCTAAGGAAATGCTGTGCGTTGTATTGATCCTTTGGGTTGGTGCCCCTGAATAGGCTCACCTCGCGCCAGACGGCTAGCTGCCGACGTGGCAGGGCACGCGCCACACACAGTGACCCGTTTGGTGGTGGTGGGGGGGGGGGGGAGGTCGAAGGAGGGAGGGGGACTCACCAGTTTCGGTAGGGTGAGCTGGCGGCGGCCGCCTCCCGCTGCTTCTTCTGCAGCACAAACTCCTGTCGGAGAGACGGCACAGCGTGAGGGGCCGAGTTCCACCGGCGGGCGCTCACAGACCGCAGCGAGGAGCTCTGGGTAGCGGACAGAGAGCTAGCTGGAGCTGGAGGCATGAGGTTAGATGTGCCGTAAACGGAAACTGGCAGAAAAGAATGGCAGTCCTCACTATCTGACGTTGGGGTAAAAGGGCTTATATAACATGTAACAAAAACAATCACAAAAATTAATGCAAGCACATTAAAGGTAGTGTGCCAGCTTTCCTGGACCGTATGGAGTTAATGGCCCAGATAAGGAGAACCGGATTTTTAGAACTTATCCATACCTTCAAAACTCATGGAAACGTCTTAAATTCTTCAAATTTTGAGTACCCCAGTGCGAAATTCGCCCCGACGGGTTGTCGGTCGTACCCCAACCACATTTCACACCACTATGAACAATAAATGCACACACTGAAATCGCTATTACCGATATGCTCATCCAATCAAGTTTCGATAAACCCGTTCATCATCATCTCCTGCGGTTTCGAACACGCCTGTTAGGTGGTGCGGTAGACCGCGCCCAAAGCCAGGGCCCCGGTAACGTGAGTTAGCCGAGTCGGGGCAGCGTGCGCTGACCCAAGCCGGGGCCGCGCGTCCTCCCGGTGTCATGTGATAGCCCGGGGCTGCCCGCGGGGATGCGGTAGACCGCGCCCAAAGTTGCGGCCCCGGCTTGGGTCAGCGCACGCTGCCCCGACTCGGCTACCTCACGTTACCGGGGCCCTGGCTTTGGGCGCGGCTTCTGCTCATACTTTGTGGTGCGGTGGTGGTGCGTCGGGCCGTGCGCTCTGACTTCGGCCAAGAAAAATGCGTCAGCTGATCATTGTCATTTCTGCCACTTGCGTGTGGTGAAATGGGGTCATAACTTAAGAGACGGCTTTTTCATATCAATTATTTTACATAAAATCATATTTCAAACCATAAATAATGTTCGACAGCCAAATAAAAGAAACAATACCAATACAGGCTTACAGTTTAAGGCTCGACATTGTGTTGTCTACGATTAGACAGCTGATAACTCATTCCCGTACGTCGTAACTCTATAATGACCTTTGCTTATTGTCACATGTGCGCCGCATTCGCGATTGTTGCCGACGCCTGTTTGCAGGTCAGCCCACTACAGTTGTTATACATATCGAAAAACCGATAAACTTTTAGGCGAAAAAGGCACTATTCCAGGCCCATTTTTGATTTTTTTTGCGATATTAGGTAAAAACAGAAGCTTCTTATCCTAGGAAAAATAAAATGGGAAATCTTTCAAAGGTGGCACACTACCTTTAATGACAATTGCGCTACTGCGCGGCCGGACGCTACACCACACAATATAGGTAGGTAACACGGAAACTTCATGTAGCTTCAGATCCTTTTGGTCTCGTAAGGCACAGACATGAACACAAGGAAGCGTAGCATATGTAACAACCATCAGGTAATGTACACGTCAGCACATCGCTCAATATACAACCCGTAGGACGCACTTATCTTAATGCTCGCATGAACGAGCCGGACCATCTACGGAACCCTTCTATTACCTACGTAACTCCGCCGCAGCTAACAATACCGGACAGCTGCCTCTAAAAACGCTCCACCAAAAATGGTTCTGCCACTGCAACCACGAGCATCAAACAATGAGCAATCCCCCCCCCCCCCAGCCAACGAGCACTACAACATTACGAAGACCAGATCAACATCCAAGGTCAGCCTGGTCCCAAAATAGTCGAAGGCCGGCCATGGTAAGACGAGCAAACACCATTCCAAGGGGCGCAGAACCGGTTTCGATTAAAAATCTGAGTAATAATAGCTCCAGCGCGACCAGTACGCCTCACGCGGGTACCATCCCCAATGACCACTGTCCACTCCCTCTCAACATGGGGGCTGCGCCGGTAAACGGGGACATTAGTGTTATCATGGCCTCTGATTGTTGAGTGTTACAAGGGGTAGGCCTAGTTCAGTTTTGTTCTGCTTTAGTGGTTGGGTTTTACTAAGCTTCGGTTGAACCTTTACCTATTGTTTGGCATCGGTAACAGTGGATAATGTTGTTAATTTTTATTGGTGTTGAATACCTTCCTTCCCCCATGCTCATATCAGCATTATAGGTAACAGATAATAAGCAAAAAAGGCAATAAAAATATTTTCGAGTCAATTTAGCAAAGGAGCCGTGAATATTATTAGGAAGAGAGAGAGAGAGAGAGAGAGAGAGAGAGAGAGAGAGAGAGAGAGAGAGAAAAAAAATGATATTGCTAAAGCTTGAAAAACATGCAGCAATGAGCAAAACAAACGCGCAGAATTCCAACTGAATAATCGCATGAAAAAAGCGAGGGGCACCAAGAAGACAGAGTAATTCCAATAACCTCAATGCGTTCTCGTCTCCTCTCGTCGCGTCCCGTCCTGGTCCCGTCTCGTCTCGTCCTGGTCTCCTCTCGTCTCGTCGCGTCCCGTCCCGTCTCGTCCCGTCTCGTCTCGTCTCGTCTCGTCTCGTCTCGTCTGGTCCAGAGCCGTTCCAGTCTCGTCTGGACCCTAAACAGTTCATACTAGTTTTAACTAGTATCTCCCCGATTCAGTCTTCTATCTTTATCCATCTCGTCTAATATCTCTTCCCTGCCGTCTCGAACCCGTTTGATCCAGTTCCGCCGTCCCATCCTGTCCGGCTTGGTGACATATCGTCCTGGTCCGGCCACCATCCGCCCCTCACAGTCTGACCACGGTACTGCCACTCGCTCGGCACCAGCCTGCCTGGCATTGGGCTGAGGTCGACCCGTCACTTACATAACCAATACCCTACACCAGCGCTCTGCCTGCGTTCAAGAGTAAACGAATGCCGATACCATCGATACCCTTGGCTTATAATTCTACCAATAGCGTGGGCATGTGCATGCTTTGGATGAGTAGCCACGATACGGGAAACAAACTCACTAAAATAAATAAACATCTTCGTTAACGGACCAGCATGAAAGCGCATCCAGCACGGGTTAGTGACCGCCAACTGACGGCCAAGGGTCAGAGAGTACATTGGCAGAACTGACAGTTACATGGTCATTGGTCATCTACATTCCACTGTTGCGTTCCTACCAACCGATGTCAGCTGAAGGCCTGGGCACGATACTTTGGCAGACGCCACCGTCCCGGGCGGTTCGTTCGCCACGATGAGATTGGTATTCCGGTTCGATAGCACCCTCGTGATGATCGGTTTAGATTTCTTACGATTTCGTTTCGATACCATTGCAGATCTCATTGAGTTCATCCAATCTCAATTCTCAGTGCCAACAATGGCAAAGACATAGCTAATCAAACATCACGTCCGTATAAGGCATATGCAGCCGGTTTCATATTTATCAGTCGATATCGATACAATGCCTCCTTTGGTCAGGTAAGTACACTCTCGTCAAGCATATCCGTGGCGGGCTCCACACGGCCCCTCGTGTCGATCGTTCCTCCCCTCGAGTTCCAGTGGACTCGACCTCTGACGTCAGCACCAGGTGGACACCATACGGACCGTGGAGACTCTGGAATCTGGATACCGCAGGAGCCGGCACGAGACTGGAATTAACCTCATTACACGTAACATCTAATGTTAGCGTCCTGTCCTTTTTCTTCAAGGCTCAAATAAAGCTAATGGTAAGGAATACCAATCTATTGCCAGCAGCAGTTCCTTTACTTTTGCGGACGAGTCCATGTGGCAGCCGGAGGGGAGGTCACTGGGGCCACGAATATCTCTGGCGGGACTAGCACAAGGTTCGCCGAAACACCCGGTCGTGGCGTCGGCTCGCATTTCAAACAAATTAACCACATCAGCCATGACTGATGAAACTCCCGCCTGACAGCTGCAGCGGGTCGCAACCCAACGTCCGCCTCGAGGTTAACTCATGGCGTTCCCGAGGGCGTGCTGCCCCTGACAGGCCGTCCTTGGTCTCGGCCAAGTCCAACACGTCCTGCGCCGACTCCACCTCCCAGCCCTGAGCTCCCTGTGCTCCCGCATCCATCGGGGCATCGCGGCTCGGACCCTTTCGCCACCGCTCCCAAAATACGAGCCGCCGCCGCCGCCGCCGCCGCATGGGGCCGTGCCAGCGGCGGTGTCAAGGTCGCGCCGGGGGCAGCCGCCCCGCCTCGCCCCGGGCGCCCGCGGCCAGTGACGTCACGGCGGCCCGAGCCGCTGGCACGCCTCCAGCCGGGGGCAGACAAAGAGCCCCCGGCCGGCCAGAGGTGCCATGATTGAGCGCAGCAGCGGCGATGGCGGCCCACTACCCGGAGAGGTTTCTCAGCGACCAACCGGAAGGCAACGCGGCAGCAAAACGTCACAATGGACCAGCAGTTAGTTCAGTTGGCAGTTACTTAGTTGTGTTTATCTTTTCTGATACACAGTCATACGCAAGCACTTGCTATGGGGCCTCCAGCACCATACGAGGTTTACCCGGAAGCATCGACGTGGACCTCGACATCGGCCTCGTTAACGGAGTTCACGTACTCCAAGATTTCTAACAACCCGTAGTCACACGCTTCGGTTCTAACCATTTCTGTCACGTCCCTACTATTTCACGTCCTAAATACAACACCCAGCCCGCCTTCCCCAACCACAATGTACCCACGTGGGTTTACCAGCACAACTACATCCCACGCCAACAACCGGAAGTGCAGCCCAAGGACGACCCGTAGGACAGCGCCCCGTCAGTCTCACCTGGAGTCGCTGTTTGACCTCCGTGGAGGCGACGGCGCTCTGGTGGCGGACGTCCTTCTTCTTCAGCTGCTCCAGCCGGTCCTGCTCCCGCCGCTCCTTCTCCAGCGCCAGCTGCTGCTCCTCGCGCTTCTTCTGCGTCTCCTGGTACTCCTGAGGAGCGCAGAGGAATGGGTAGCTGTCAGGAGAGGGAGCAAACTCAGAGCGTGCAGCAAAGCCACGTCAGGAGTCAGAGTTGGCCGGGGCAGGCAAAGAGCAGCGGCGAGACGATATAAGGTCAAGTCGGAGCACGACAGCCGGGGCGGAGCTGGTAAAAGAAACGCACTGGATCGAAACAGTATGGGGCGGCAGTCGTGAATATTCAAGCAAAATGACGGGTTTCATTTCAGACAAAGCATTCGGGTGCCGCACAAAGAGACTTGTTTGAGGGTTTCAAATCCGCTTGCAAAAAAAGCGAGCTCAATGAACTATTCAAACGCGTTAGAAACCAAACAGTTTCATATCATGGCAAGGGCTACCAATAATTCACCCGGCGTTTGATCGTTACTTTGGCACATTTTTCACTTAGAAATAATTTCCACTGCGCTATGCTTCAAACAATCAGGCCATTTTTCCAAGGAGCACCTGCATTATGACTGCCCATATAACCCCTCTGAATTCATGCAAAGCCAGGTCAACTCAGCACGCAAAACCCTTGATAATATTCTAATAAATTCCATCCCTAGAAACCGCCACATACCATGGCGCTTATGCCACTTCAGACCAGCCTCAGTTCCCGTTACCATGTCCCGCGACGGGCGCACACGGCACACAGCACATGCAAAACGCCAATCAGTCCGGCCGCGGGCGTCACGAGGCCGGGTCGACCCCCCCCCCCCTCCACACACGGTGATTTTTTTTTGGGGGGGGTCCACCCGCCCGCTCCCACCGCACCGTCACCCCTGTCCTTTACCAGAACGAGTGCAATGTGCAACGGTTACTACCACCACGCGAGGGAGACGGCAGAGTGGGGCGAGGGAGCGGACGAGGTCACTTTCTAACAGGCGAGACCCCTTGTCAGGGTAATTGAGCTATGACATGGTCGGGTCGCAGCGAGGTCATACGGCACTAATTACGGGACTTCCGTGCTAACTGCACGGAATGCCCAAACGCTGCCAGCGCCTACTGAAGCCAGCCACGGCGGTCACGATCGTCTGGGGAGTGCCGTCCGTTCCCAGAAAATGCTGAAGGCTCCGGCGTCACCGCGAGTAAACGCCAACGTAACTTTCCACTCGGCTGTCGCCAACGTGCAGCGGTTGCGGTGGCTTCGTGATGTGGCCGGCAGGAACGCTCTCAGGTCCGTGGCCCAGGTGTGGGTAACTTCTAATTTGCATTCTGGCCAGACACGACCGGGCCGGTAGGTCGTGGAGGGTCGCGACTCTGGCGCCAGGGTCAGAGAGCGCTGCCCTGATGATGTCTTACTACAGCCACACAGAGGTACGGACAGCGACCGGGAAGACGTAAACGACCGATAAAGATGCTGAGGTGGCTCCTTACAAGTTATTGAACTTGTAGTTATTGAACAATAGTGTGATAAAACCGCGCATCTCAAAACCACCATCAAAATATCTCTCTTGATGAGTCGAATCACTTGCATTCTTCAACATATGTATCAAAACCTGCAGCTTCATCGGCTCGGCGCTCTTCGCAATATTACCACTCTGCCGGGTCGGTTGCATACAAAGTGCATTCGTTATACCGAGTGCACGTGCAATGAGGGCGTCCGGCAGGGCGGGGCACACCGGCCCGTTCCCACAGCCGTTCGGACAGCGCGTTAGTGCCGCATCCGCCGGCGGTACCACTAACGTGACCGACACCGCCACTAACCGATAAGCAGGGATGTTGGTTGTGGTGCTGCACTACCAGACAAAAGTGAGCTGTACTCCATTGTAAGAGCACAGGTCACAGTGGATCATCTTGATATATTTACTGGCAGAAGACAAATATAACAATTTCTTGATGTTTTTTTACCATCGCTTCAGATGCTAAGATCGGCGGATTAAACTCAATGCAATTTTACCAACCCACAAAGTCTTTTTCATAGGCATCAATTGCAACATTCGTTGGGCCACTGACACCACACTGTCGAGGGGCAGCGACCGCCACCCGCGCGGTGTTGCAAACAACACGTCACTGCCCCCCCCCCCCCCGGCGTCGCGCCGCCACCGCCGGCGTCACGACGTGACGGGTGGCGTGACGGCGCGTCACGGGCCGTGACGCGCGGCGCTGCACCAAGGTGTCACGGTGTGCCCGCCGCCGCCACCGCATATGCTAAAACGGGCTCACGGACAGACGGCAATCCGAGAAATCCACATCGTTTTCCGGTCACTGCGTCCCAACATCCATAATCAAGAGTGAATGATTGTGAGGATTCCGGAAATGACGTCTCACTGTGACCTGAAGGTGTCTATTTAAAATATTATTCGTGATAAAATCAAATAAAACTTGGACCACCGGAAAGACACGCATCATGATTTATTAAAGGAACTATCCCACCTTCTAAAATGTTGTTAAAACCAGTTAAATTGTGCCCGACTTTATAGATTAAATGACCAGGAACACGGTTCTGGCATTTATTTTTCATTAAACATCTTAGGCTTCCCATATTCCAAACACAAACTTTCAAATATGTGACGTCACAGCCCAAAATTACCTCCTTCCCCAGGCCACATTACTGTCATAAAGCTGATTCTTTTTACTCTGTAGGCACCACAACAAAGTTCAGACCAAGTTTTAAGCGATTTTTCAACGAACAAACCCATTTAAATCAGAATGACTAAACGAGGTGACGTCACACTAACGGTCGCTCCATGTTGAAGATAGGGCCTTGCGCAAGGCCCATTTTCAAATGAAGGGAACGAATTTCTTCAACACCAAGAGGCCGCGGGGGCTGCAACCTAGATAGATAGTGGTTTCTGAACCTCGCCGCAAACTTGGCTATCTCAACTCAAACCCCATGTTAAAGGTGGGATAGTCCCTTTAACACGCTGTATGTTGCTAAAAAATACCTTCTTCAATGACAAGCGCGATAATAATTTCCAGCCACTGAAGACGTTTGTACCCCCTAAATACACAATTGAACTGGAAGTTGAAACATGACATCAAAGTGTCACCGAATTCTACCTAATAAGTGCCCGCATTCATACAGGATGGCTGAAGGAAATCATAGGTCTATCAAGATGCGAGCACAGACAAATGCTAAGGTGTCAACAGTGGGTCGACCTAAAGCACAGCAAATCAGTGACGGACGTGCACAAAAAGAATATAGAGAAGTTCGCCTTACAGTTTGGCACTGGAAATTCACACTGAACGGCTAGCAACATATAGCGCCGCGTCGCAGTTGCAAATTCAAACGAAAAATGCAAATGATTGCGTCGAGACGGCAATGCTCGCACGATTATGCTTGGCTCTGTGAAAAAGTAACCCAAATATACATTTGAACCGGAAAAAGTACGACTATCAACAAACCGCCTGGGAAAAGCATCCAATTTCGCCTGGGCAGCTTCAGCCATTATCAAACACCTCGGCTGGCTCCCTAACAAAGGCCCGGCTAGCCGGAGGCCCGAGCTATTTCTGGCTTCCAAAACCGTCCATATCAATAGGCGTTGTGCACTGCAGTCACATAACCAGACATTTAATTTTCTTTAGAAAGGCAGCTCAGTCTCTGACAGCGCAAAATCTACGCAGTAGCATGCGACCCACTCAGTCAGTCAAGGCCATGACATTTCCGAGCTTGAACCCACGGCCATCACTGCGGGAAGGCAATCTCACTAGCGTCCGCCACTCATCGCCCGATTTACTTACGATATTTATTTCAAACCCCGCACACCACTGCAGCCTGGGCATGTATCGCTAAGTAAAAATCGCCGCAGACAGTGACGTAACGCCACACGGCGTGTGGGTGACCGTGGATCTCTGACCATAGCCGACCTCGGCAGACCTTGAGCGGGCCGGCAGCCGGGGCACGGAGCCAGCCAGGCGTCATCGGCCGGGCGTCATCCGCCGGCGTCAGACGTCATCCGCCGGGGACGGCTGGCAGCCGCCGCGTGCCGTCGTCTTACGGCCTCCGCCGGTCACACGTTGTCACGTGCGCGCGCGCCAGGGATCAGCGGCTACTGGTGCACCGCACCAGTCGCAGAGAAGAGATCGGCCATGTGGAGAAATATTACCAACAGGTGCGCACAAGGGTGACCGAAACTATCAATTGGGTCAAGAAAGTGAATGGCTCGTCGCCAAAAGAGTGCAAGTGCCGAGCGCTGACGGCGTTTACTTGGGTAAAACAACAGTCAAAGGCAAAGCGCCAAGTGCTCTCAGAAACAACGCAAGAGTGGCCTAGCACTAGTAAGTGACCGTGTCGCCCAGGGCACGTGATCTACGGAGGGGCGCTAGCGGTGCCTGGTGCAGCGGAGGCGCAGTGCCAGTGCAGTGCAGTGCAGTACAGTCTACATCAGCCCCAGTGCGTGGCGGTGCGGTGGCTGGCCAAGCGGACGGAAACACAGACGCGCGCCGCCGCGGCGGGGGCCGCTCGGCGCGCTCGCACAGACCTTGTCATGCATGGGCTCGTCGGGCAGCCGGTCCTCGGCGCGCTCGTGGTACTGCGCCGCCAGCAGCTGCTGCTGCAGCTGCACCTGCTGCCACCAAACATGCTGGAGAGAGCACACACACAAGCGCGAGCGCCGCTGCAGCTGAGATGGTCCCGACACGGTCCGGTCCGGTCCGGACCGACGGACCGACGGACCAACCACGACCACTGCATGCGTCCAATCGTCGGGGGCGTTTGAATCCATGCAACGAAAAACACATACTACTCGAGGACACTAGAGCAAAGCCTTCTGGATTTCTCAGGAGAGTAACGTCGAGTTGCGACAGTAAATTGCTAAGTGTTTTCTTTCGGAGCATAAATTCAAACGATTCACGCGAATGGGAGCACCAGTTGTCGGGTATCGGTCACTTTTCGAGCTCTCCCGTCACTCAACACTGCATACGGCAAGAACCAGACACGGGCCTACGGCACAAGGCCAAAATACACATGTACTGGACAGACCAACGGCCCCGGCGCGGCGGCTGAAGGCTTCGGAAACTGGGCGCCCGTTATAAATGAACTCATGGTGAGCCTGGCGCACAGCCAGCCATCAAATGGACCTTGCAGACACAAAGCAATGCAAAATTACGGAAAACAACACTGCTCAACAAAGATGAAGGGGTACTTAACGGGGCGTTCACTTAATGACAGAACTGTAAACACAGGTGACCCAAAATTTTATGCAACCAAATGCATCCCTAATATCACAAGGGCAAGCTCAAAGAAGCATAACACATACATACCATAGGCAAAAGATACACACTGCATACGATAAGGATTCACAGAGTAAAAGAGCGGAGCCTGAACAAATCGTCTGTCACTATACATTACAAATGGTATATTTAACTTTTGATGGTAAATCGTATTCAGAAATACGGCAATGTTGGCCGGATACGTCAGGGAATCAAAAGACAAAAGTGAAATAAATGTCGGAGTTATAAAAAGCAACCTAGAATTAAGAAACTTTGTAAATGCCTAAAGATAACACATACTGACATCTAGGAAATCAATTAGTGAGACAACGCGCGCATTTTTCAAGGAAAATATCAACAAGTCAAGAACGAAGCCCTGACGCGACCTAGAAAAGAAGAACCCGTAAAAAAGGCATTTGCCACTAAGAAGCCGATTCAGTGAGGGAAGGCAGCCGGACTTGGCGCTTGGCAGCACTGCTTGACAACAAAAAACTTCCCAAAAACGTCACAAGTTTTAACTCAGTCTCCAGCCGTCCCAAATTACACGTCATATTACCGCACTCGCCCAATTTGGTTAACCCTGCGCACGCCACCTCGCAGCGTTGTGGCAGCCATTCCTCACGCCCTCACGCCGGACTTTTAGTGACCACACCTGATCCGCAACTGATACTGTGCCACCATGGCCACGGGCCAGACAGCAGCGTATGATCTGTTAACTTTGATAGTGGGCAACGTGGCCTTATTTGCGGTCGACCGCAGAATGGGCAGCACACGATCAATTTCAGAAGAAGTGCGCTTTGGTAGTCAGGTGGTCGCGATACGATTGCTCAGAAACTGAGAGTCCTTGAAGAGCGCAAAATTATATGTAAATAAATAGCGAGCGGTGATTTCATTATGACTGTATGATTGTATCATTGAGTTCACATGACTGACATTATTGGTGACCATTTATAAGAAAAACACTGCCCAAACAAGGTGCCGCGAAAGGACGATACCACTTCTAATTGAGATGCTGCAAGAGGACTTGCATCACCGAAAGCATGGACATAAATAGAATAAATGCTTGAGCGCGTATCATTGAAAAGATACATATGCATTTCAATCATACCGAAATATCGTCCTTGATGTATCGTTTTATGTTGGCTGTTCAGTGCCGCAGCATACCGCAGGCCCCAGTACGCCCGCAGCAGCGCGCGCCACGCGGTCCTATACTGCTGTTGGGCGTCAGCTCACCTTGATGTGCTGCTGCAGCTGCTTCTCGTGCTGTTCGGTCAGCTGCTGCTGCTGCGCCTGGAACTGCTCCACCAGAAACCGCTGCTGCAGCTCCTGCTGCTGCCGCAACTGAAACGCGACAGAGACGGTTAACAACTGCTGCAATAGACACAGTCAACAACTGCTCCCGCTCCCGTAACTGTAGCGCAACAAGTGCAGTAATCAACTACTCCAGCCAAGAAAACTGTGGCGCAAATACGCTGCAGTCTTCCTAGTTTCCACAGTCTGTCTCTCGCTACAGTCTTTCTATCAGAGTCGATCACCGCTGCTGCTATTGCAGAGACACCTCAGCTTCAAAGTGGTGTCGCTAGCGATCCGGTTGGCAAACCTCAAATCAGCCCCGGTCAACGTCCCGCTAGCTGGTCCGCAACATGCCTCGCATCACCGACATTGGTGACATACGCCCACCAATCAGTGTGCCGATACGGGAGGGATATAATGAAAGGAATATGTGTAAATATTCCCCAGGACGGACGAATACAATAGAAAGAAGCCTTACACACACATTTATCCATCCACAAGAGCTTAGTCTTGTCCAGCTGCACGATAAAAAGAAAAGAAATAAAAACACTGACATGACATTTAGTTTGGGGCTGAAGTGGAGCTGACAGAAGTGACCTTCGCCGCTGGTGTGGCTGTGGGGGCCGGCACCCAAATGACCAAACTGCGCAGACCAGCAGAGCAGACTGGCACGTGGCGTTAACATGTCCGCACGCATGACACCCTATTTCAGGCGCTGTAGTGAGCAAGTGGGGAAGTCATTAACTTGAATTTGCATGAATAACTCGTCATATCTAATAAAAGGAGAGCGTGAAGACAGTAGAGGAAAAGGAGAGAGGCTGGTTTTTCATGTAATTTTGGTTCGATTTACGATGACATGGCTGTTCTGAGCGGCCGGTATGAAAGGTAACACAAGATAACGTTTAATCAAAGCATCGATAGGAGTGATAGGGTAAACGAGACTAGTTGAATACACAGGGATAGCGAGGGTTATGGAGCCAATCTAACTCATAAATGGCCGCGCGGAATAGCCAAATGGCAAACATTGTGGTCCGGAAAATGTAATCAAGACGATAAATTAACCTACCCCACTCGGCCCTACCCCGCCCTCACCGAAAGCACCTGCACTGAGCTCCATACCGCACCCCTACTCGGTTAAACATTTCCAAGCGAGCTACATTAGCCGGAGCCGGAGACAGTAGCCGGAGACCACCCACCGCGCCCCGAGCTCTCTGAGCCGGTCAGCACAGGTGGCGCCGAGGTGAGCTGACAGGCGCTGACTAGTGACTAAGCTGGCAGTGGCACTGTTGCCAGGCCGACCACGGACCACCACGCGCTTCAGAGCGGCGAGATGCGCCTCCGAGAAACGTCGCATATGAGCGTCCACCCCAGCTGCTGGTCTGGGCGGACGGCACGTAATCTCACTGCTCCGAGAGCAGCGGCACATCGCAACAGCCCGGCGGCATGGGCAGCGTTCAGCGGAACTGGACAACATGGCAGGTGCGCGAACAGAGTCACAGCGGAGGCGCCCACACCCGGCGCGCGAGTCGCCGTTCCTTGAAGACCAGCGAAGTAATCTCGCTGAAGACTACCAAGGTAATCTCGCGAAAGCAAATGTGACACAAAGCCGTGCTTTGGTAATGTAGTTCTATGGTAAGCAGTCTAGTATATTGAGCCTGATGCCAGCCAACCCCAACATCCGCGTTCGTACTCGGTAAGCGTGGGCTGTAGGAAAATGGTGCCCGTTGCCTTATTATGTAGTCGACGGCAGCATTGTTATGTGAATAATACGACCGGTTTGTACCGCTATTTGGGATGAATTATGTCTTAATGCTTAGCTTACATGTTCTTGACATGCTGAAGAACCTTCAAAATGGATGTGGACAAGACCAGATGGCGCTTGACAAATGATATCCACAAATACGGGCATGCTTCTTGGGCACCGCTTGCTTTGCGGCAAACAAAAAACATCATTGGATAGCGGACACAGCACGTTATTTGCTCCAAGTATTGTCATGAAATATGCGAACGCGGTAATTTAACATGGATGAGTAAATAATTAACATAAAAGAATGCAGACAGTATAAGCATGAAACTACCGGGAACTATCTGGATCTTCATAAGCACACGCGTTGAGAGGCTTTCATCCCAGTTCCAGCCTTTTTCAGAATAATCTTCATCCCAGCTGGCGTGTATGCTCTATCAATAGAGCGCGTTCTCTCAATTGAAGAAGCTCCCCAGCTGCTACCTCCCGGAGCAGCTGTTCGGTCCAGCCCTGTCGGTGGAGCCCGCGTAACCGGCCGCTCAGGACAGGGCCGAGTGCGTGCGTTGACCCCAACGGCCGACACGCAGCGTGACCTTGTCAGCGGTGCAAAGTGTGCAAAACTGCGATAGCGCAATAGCCCTGAACGCATTCCACTCTGCTGCGCGAACGCACGAAAATGGCTGGTGCGCATGTTTCAGAGGCTTGCAAACACACAAGAATGTCTCACGACTTACCAAAATTAGCCAGCCAATGAAAAATGATCGAGTGACAGACATGCTAAACACATTTCTGACATATAATCCTATTCGGGAGCTGGTAGCGCATAACTACATGCGGTTCTAAAAGTGATAGCCCGGTCAGGTGACCACTGACCAGTCTCAGACTTCGAAGGCCGGTGTACGCATCTGACAGCGCCTGGCGCGACGGGTTCCCTCCCTCCCCGCACTCGGCTCCCAGACTGCCTGCAGAGTACGTCTCAGCAGAGTACGCCTCTCGTTTCCCACAAGACGTGTCCCGACTGCGGCCGTCTCCACGGGGCCAGAGCGGAGGTGCCGGGATCGGAATGGTGCTGCTGTTCCGCGCTGGGCAGACCCGGCGACCGCGGGAGCGGTATCGCACGAGCTGCGGTACAGAGCACAACGGCTACAGAATAGGCCAAGCGCTCAATACACGGTACTGTGACACGGAAAGCAGGCGGCCACAGACCACAGAGTGGCGGTGACGGAAGGGCGTAGACACATAGGGTGGAAGCAAGGCAACGGTGGGAGGAAAGCCATGCAAGGAACGCAGTGCGATGCCCGAAACAGAAAGGATTGAGGGAAGAGGGTTCCGCGCTAATCCAAGGCACAGCAGTATAACGCAACAATGGCTGTGGAAAGACTTTACTTTCCTAGACCATTATAGTTTATTTATAAAATTGCGGGATTTTAGCAACATCATATTAATACACACAGCTGCACCGGTTTAATAGCTGGACAAGAGCGATGCTGCTATAAATAACGGGCTTACCTCCAAACACATTACGCAAATGGATGGTTATCTGCTCTTAAGATGGAACGCATAGCAAAAACATCCTACCACTGCTGGCAACATATCGAGCGAATGCCACGAATATACCGAGTGACCGGAATAGCGTCAGCGGACAGGATCCCTTTGCATCCTCCACTCTCCAAATGGAAGCAGACGTCATGGTTCCAGTGATGACGCACCGCCACGCACGGGCAAGCAAGAAGGCGAGCAAACGGACAGAAATACTCCAGAGAAAGGGCTGAGAATACACCCAATCGGAGGCAAAGTCTGGTCAGAATTAGCTCCCGACGTTCCGGGATAGGTATCAGCTGAATCCAGCTGTCACAAGGCCATTTACTGACATAAATAACCTGAAAAAGATTTGCAATTAAATAAGACCAAGGGAAAAACACAACCAGACGGATGGACGCCATTTTTTACTCGAGCCCCGCCCACGATCGGCTAGCGGTGACATGTCCTGTGAGGGCAGCCAGGCCTTCTGGTCAGTTCGAGCCGCCCTGGACAGCGGCCAGGCCTGCCATACAGAGGTTCACCTGTCAGGCGCGCTCAACATCGCCAATGTTTGTCAGAAACACGTCAGAATCGTGCGGCCATGATGGCTGGAGGAACCGGCCGAACCCTGGACTACGATATCGGATATCCAGCCGCAGTTCAGCATGATATCGGCACACATGCACGGATCAAGAGGCGAACCGAAACGGGAGTAAGACGGCGATGCGGCCTGCTCTAAGAGGCCACCAGCAACCACCGGTCGGCCAGGAAGGAAGTGGCCGACCAGGCGCTCGACTGGACCGACAAGCTGGTGGTGTCGCTGGTGGTCATCAGGAGCTGTGACAGCTGGCGAGCTTTGACAGCAAACCGAGAAGCCTGAGCTTTGAGCGCAAGCTGGGAAGCCCATCGGCTTGACAGTATACGACGCGGGCACTGGCCACTGCAGTATCCCGAATAGGTAAACATGCTGTTGGAGTGACTTCCTGAATAGGCAGCGATTTGATTATGATAATCGTAAATGATTCCATAGATCTGAGTAAAGCACAATATTGAAAAGGCAGCCTACATCAGGAACGATACCTTACGGAAAGAAACGCATTGAACACAGAACGTAGCCTCATCCAACTCACATTTCTAGCTCATTGGCGAATACCAAGGAACGAAAAAAGGCACCTTTGATGTCCAAATCAGCGTAGAAATCCTTCCTGCGGAAGCAGTCGCTTCAAACAAAGCCCGCCAGGCTCAGGGCTCATCAGCGCACAGGGGTTCTCTCGCAGGTTCTCCCTAAGACCTGACCTCCACAGGGTATAGAGGCGAGCCGGCGTCGACGCATCGAACGTCGATGTGAGCCGCGGCCGTCCGACGGCACTCAATAGCGGCCATCGACCGGCGACCGTCTGACGGACGGCGACCTGGCCAGATGAGGCAGAGCTTCAGCCACTGAGCGACACCGCCAGATCAGGAGAGCTGCCATTGAGCGACACCGCCAGATCAGGCGGGCGGTCATGAGAGCTCTGCACAGCCGGCTCAGCTGGGGTCCTGCTGGTGGCTAGACGGAGATGAACTCGTAATCAAAGTCAGCGCATGAAGCTGGGACTTAGGAGATGGTTTTTCTTTCCACAATCGCACATACAGCTAGCGGAGGATACCAATGTGACCTGCAACTTCATCCAAACAAAGGGCTGACATGCTTAAGGAAAGGATAGCAGTTTTGGAACGGAGCAATCCATCCACTGAGCAGTGATGGATTGAAGAGAGACGTTGGGCAGACCTCCCACAACTT